GGATGAGTCTCTCAGTGAGGAGTGAGTTAGCGAGTGGCGTAGACATGAGTCTCGGAGAGGACTTAGTGAGTGACGTAGGGATGAGTCTGTCTCGGTGAGGAGTTCCTGAGTTAGTGAGTGACGTAGGGATGAGTCTGTCTCGGTGAGGAGTTCGTGAGTTAGCGAGTGACTTAAAGATGAGTCTCTCAGTGAGGAGTGAGTTAGTGAGTGGCGTAGGGAAGAGTCTGTCTCAATGAGGAGTTCGTGAGTTAGCGAATGACTTAAAGATGAGTCGGTGAGGAGTGAGTTAGTGAGTGACGTAGGGATGAGTCTCTCAGTGAGGAGTGAGTTAGCAAGTGGCGTAGGGATGAGTCTCTCAGTGAGGAGTGAGTTAGTGAGTGATGTAGGGATGAGTCTCTCAGTGAGGAGTGAGTTAGTGAGTGACGTAGGGCTGAGTCTCTCGGTGAGGAGTGAGTTAGTGAGTGATGTAGGGATGAGTCTCTCAGTGAGGAGTGAGTTAGTGAGTGATGTAGGGATGAGTCTCTCAGTGAGGAGTGAGTTAGCGAGTGGCGTAGACATGAGTCTCGGTGAGGAGTTAGTGAGTGACGTAGGGATGAGTCTCTCAGTGAGGAGCGAGTGATATGAGTGAGTGACGTAGGGATGAGTGTCTCGGTGAGGAGTGTGTTAGTGTAGGGATGAGTCTGTGTTAGTGAGGAGTTAGTGAGTGACGTATGGATCAGTGTATCAGTGAAGAGTTAGTGAGTTGGTTAAGTGATGTAGGAATGAGTCTGTGTCAGTGAGGAGTTAGTGAGTGACATAGGGATGAGTGAGTGTCACAGTGAGGAGTTGGTGAGTTAGTGAGTGACGCCGGGATGAGTCTGTTTCCATGAAGGTCTCGGTGAGTGAGTGACGTAGCGATTCCGCGTCATTTTCTGACATCTGTGTAAGACGTCCTGAGCCAGTGAGTTGGTGAGTGACATAGCGATGAGTCGGTCTGTGTGTCACTGCTCTGGCTAGTGGAAGCTGCCCTGTCCCCACGTCCGGTCGGGATGGAGCAAACTGCACCCCGTTGCGTCTGCATTCGCTCCTCGGTTCTCTCCGCTACGGCCGCAGCCTGACGAGGTGTGATATAATATGTCTGGTATGATGCGGTGTGTGTCGTATGACGGGGCGTGGTGTGTGACGAGGCGTGGTGTGTGACGAGACGTGGTGTGTGACGAGTTGTGATATGACGAGGCGTGGTATAGGTCTGGTGTGACGAGGCGTGGTGTGTGTGACGAGGCGTGGTGTTTGACGAGTTGTGGTATGACGAGGCGTGGTATAGGTCTGGTGTGACGTGGTGTGTGTGACGAGTTGTGGTATGACGAGGCGTGGTGTGTGACGAGTTGTGGTATGACGAGGCGTGGTATCGGTCTGGTGTGACGAGGCGTGGTGCGTGACGAGGGGCAGTGTGTGATGAGGTGTGGAGGGGTGCTGCTGTGAGGTGTGGTGCCAAGTTAGACGTGGTGTGACGAGGTGAGGTTGTGAGGTGTGGTGTCACATTCGTGAAATGTTAACTACCTCACCCCTAGTATGCAGGAGGTCGTGTGTTGATCCGGAGCCTGACGCCTGCTGTATATTTCATACCTGTTAACCCATACTGTTTACCCGTATTGTTGTACACGTACAGCCGTTTCAATACAGGATTTTTCTGTCTATTTGTTTGTGTTTCTCCCTTGTGATGGGACTTTGCAGGATGAACGTTGAGATTTCTAAGGGCACACGGTGACCAATAAGGTCCGAATTGGCCTGTAATAAGGTAGGGCACTGATGAGGGGTTGACAGGTATGATATTTGGATGTTAACTACGTCACTTGGTATACAGGAGGTTGTGGGTTCGATCCCGAATCTGACGCCTGCTGTATGTTTTGAGTCTGCGTCTCTCTCCCCGTGCTCGCATGGATTTTACTCCGGGTCTTTCGGGTTTTCCCTCCACATTCAGAAACATGCGTTTGGAGTATTTGGCTGCTGTGAATTTCCACGCGATGATAAGGCCACTTCGTTGAGCTATCATTTGTGGCCAGGTCGCTTCTGTTAAAAGAGCTACCATAGCTCAGTGGGCCTTACCTAATACAAAATAAAAGAGTAAAATAGTTCATAATGAAGGTTTTTGGGTTAGATCGCGTTTATTTATAAATGTGTCGTAACCCTCCACCACCCCACGCGGCCAATCAGCAAAAAAAGTGTCACGTTGACAAAAGACAAATAATTCACTACTTTAGCCCACCGGTGTGTTGAAGAGTGATGATGCTGGATGTATTTACCAGCGAAACGTCGTACTCAAACTGTAAATGTGGATTCACTCTTCAACACACCGGTGGGCTAAAGTAGTGAATTATTTGTCTTTTGTCAACGTGACACTTTTTTTTGCTGATTGGCCGTGTCGGGTGGTGGAGGGTTACGACACATTTATAAATAAACGCGATCTAACCCAAAAACCTTTATTATGAATAATATTGGTCGCGAAAGCCTACGTGTTAAACAGAGTAAAATAGTGTGGCCGTGTGGGGTTTCTACAAGGTTGGGGGGGGGTGTAGCGTAGAGTGACGAGAGGTTAGGGTATGGCATCGATGTGTGGGTGACCAGGTGGGGTATGGTGCACGGAGTTTAATTGCAGCGTGGTAAGGTGTGGAACACGTGTGTGTGTGGTGTGTGGTGTGTGTGTGTGCGCACGTGCGTGGGAGCGGTAGTGTGGCGGTTAGCGCTACGCTGCGCTACGAACCCGGCGACTCGTGTTCCATCGCCACTCACTATCAACACCGGTGACGATTATCTAAGCCCGTCCTGGGCCTTCCCTAGGTCGACTCAGCCTCAAATGAGTACCTGGTGGGGTGCGTAGAAACATCGCCACTGGGGAGACAAAGGCGGCCGGGCGTGGTGCTGGCCACCCACCCCCCTCGTGTGCCACAGTGCCGGTGCTCGCTAACAGCACTTGCCCCCACAGTCTGTTACAGGCTGTACGGGGGGTCTTTGTCTTTTGTGCCATTGTTCTTCGTGTAGACAATGGCAAAGTGCCTTCTGGTGAGTTTTTATTTTCAGATCCATTGCTCACGCAGTGGTGGGCCAAGTGCTGCGTGAGCTATACCGGGTGGGGTTTGGGGTGCCGGACACCTTTATCTTTGTGCTCACGCCTGTGGGCCATTGGTCCTGTCTCCAAAACAAGAATGACACGGCGATACCTTTGCATGTGTATACGTGTGTGTGTCGTGTGTGTGTGTCATGTGTATACGTGTGTGTGTCTTGTGTGTGTCGTGTGTATACGTGTGTGTGTCTTGTGTGTGTGTCGTGTGTATACGTGTGTGTGTCTTGTGTGTGTGTCGTGTGTATACGTGTGTGTGTCTTGTGTGTGTGTCGTGTGTATACGTGTGTGTGTGTCTTGTGTGTGTGTCGTGTGTATACGTGTGTGTGTGTCTTGTGTGTGTGTCGTGTGTATACGTGTGTCTTGTGTGTGTGTCTTGTGTGTGTGTCGTGTGTATACGTGTGTCTTGTGTGTGTGTCGTGTGTATACGTGTGTATACGTGTGTGTGTCTTTTGTGTGTGTCGTGTGTATACGTGTGTGTGTCGTGTGTATACGTGTGTGTGTCGTGTGTGTGTGTCGTGTGTATACGTGTGTGTGTCTTGTGTGTGTGTCATGTGTATACGCGTGTGTGTGTCTTGTGTGTGTGTCGTGTGTATACGTGTGTGTATACGTGTGTGTATGTCTTGTGTGTGTGTCGTGTGTATACGTGTGTGTGTGTGTCGTGTGTATACGTGTGTGTGTCTTGTGTGTGTGTCGTGTGTATACGTGTGTGTGTCTTGTGTGTATATGTGTGTGTCGTGTGTATACGTGTGTGTGTGTGTCGTGTGTATACGTGTGTGTGTGTGTGTCATGTGTATACGCGTGTGTGTGTCTTGTGTGTGTGTCGTGTGTATACGTGTGTGTATACGTGTGTGTATGTCTTGTGTGTGTGTCGTGTGTATACGTGTGTGTGTCTTGTGTGTGTGTCGTGTGTGTGGGCGGTGGGGATGAGCGGCAGCGCACCACGACGCTACGAACCCTGCGGCCCAAGTTCGATTCCCGCTCGTGGCAAACGTCAAAGGCAGAGCGACAGCTGTTTTATATTACACACCGAATATAAACCTTTTGCAAAGAATCAAAGTACTGCATTAACCACACACAGTACTTGCGGCGAGCATGCAAACAAACATGGCTTTTAAATTTTGATTTAAAGCTTTCGTGACTGCAGGGATTCATATTCTTGGTTCTTTCGGTAAAGTCACGTAGAAGGGAAACAATTAAATAATAAAAATGTAAAACAATACAATTCTCAAGACGTTTCGACTGCAACACAAGCAATCATCATCAGGTGTGAAAACCACAGCAAGCATCATCAGGTGATGATTGCTTGTGTTGCAGTCGAAACGTCTTGAGAATTTTATTGTTTTATATTTTTATTATTTTATTGTTTCCCTTCTACGTGACTTTACCGAAAGAACCAAGAATATAAACACAGCTTTGATGATAATAAATATATACATCGTACATTATGAGACCTCCTTTGCCAGTAACAAGATTTAGTAATAGGTTTTACCCTTTTAACTGGCACAAAAACTGACACCTTTATTCAAGGCATCTTCTGGTCCAACACCAGTGGAGACTAGGCTCTAACAAAAGCCGTCTTGGGTGTGGACCAATCAAATTCAAGGACAGTGCCAATATTATTACCAGAGTTGTCTCTTTTGTTTGCATTTTGACCGCTTGTGTTGTGGTTATTGCAAACGTGATGCCTTGAATAAAGGTGTCAGTTTTTGTGCCAGTTAAAAGGGTAAAACCTATTCCTATATATGCACCGTCTTTGAAACTGATTTTGGCCTACACCAGAGACGGCCTTCTTGATGGCCTAGTCTCACCACCTCCCGTTGTATCGTCAAAAACAAAAAAAGAAAAAACCTCTTCTTATTTCCCCCCCCCCCGTTCCTTTGTTTGTCTTTGTTCATTACAGCACTTGCCCCCAGCGGCCTGCTAAAGGCCACCCCGGACCTTTGCCTCTCCTGTGTCTCGTTGACAGACGGCGGGGGGGAGGAGGGCAGGCGGCAGGCCGGCCACGCACGCCTCGGCGAGCTCCTGCTCGCGCTCAAGCGCACGTTGGCCCGGCACCCGGCGTTGAGCCTACGGGAGATCCTCACCGCCACCGGCGCCCTCATTACCAGGGTCAAAGGTAACGGGCACCCCCCCCCCCGCCCCGCTCCCCATCCCCCGCCCCCGCCGCCTATCTACTGGGACATGTGTGATAAAGAGCTTTATAGCTTATCGGATTCCTCCAGACTAAATATATGTTCTGATATCCACCCACCTCCCCCCCCCCACCACCCACATTTGATAGCGCTCGTTTGTAGTTAGTTTGGTAGTTGTGGTGGTGGTGGTGGTAGCGGTAGCCGGTAGTAGCCACAGGCTCTGTAGCGACAGGTATACTGGACGTGGTGTGTCACGTGCCACAGAGCCTAACGACCTGCTGTATACCAGGCGAAGTAATCAACATCTAGCCACCGTGGGGGCGCCATGGTAGGCTAGGAGATGTTAACTACCTCGCCTGGTATACAGGAGGTCGTGGGTTCAATCCCGACCCTGATGACGCCTGCTGTATATTTGGAGTTTGCATGTGGCTAGGAGATGTTAACTACCTCGCCTGGTGTACAGGAGGTCGTGGGGTTCAATCCCGACCCTGATGACGCTTGCTGTATATTTGGAGTTTGCATGTGGCTAGGAGATGTTAACTACCTCGCCTGGTGTACAGGAGGTCGTGGGGTTCAATCCCGACCCTGATGACGCCTGCTGTATATTTGGAGTTTGCATGTGGCGACATGTTAACTACCTCGCAAGGTATACAGGAGGTCGTGGGTTCGACCCGACCCTAACACCTGCTGTATATTTGGAGTTTGCATGTAGCGAGATGTTAACTACCTCGCCTGATATGCAGAAGGTCGTGGGTTAGATCCCGACCCTGACACCTGCTGTATATTTGTAGTTTGCATGTGGCTAGGAGATGTTAACTACCTCGCCTGATATACAGGAGGTCGTGGGTTCGATTCCGAACCTGACGCTTGCTGTATATTTGGAGTTTGCGTCTCTTTCGCTCTATCCCCGTGGTCGTGTGGATTTTCCTCCTGGTCTTCCAGTTTTTCCCCTCCACATTTAGAATCAACATCATGCCTTTTAGAGTATTTGGCTGCTGCTAAAAATGTCCATGATGATGATGAACCACTTCGTTGAGCTACCATTTGTGATAGCCAGCTCGCTTCTGAAAAAGAGATTATATAGCTGAGTGGGCCTTACTTGGTAAAATAAAAATACAGTCAAACCTTGGATTGCGAGCATAATTGGTTGCGGAAACGTCTTTGTAATCCAAAGCACTCGTATATCAAAGCGAATTTCCCCATAAGAAATCATGGAAACTCAGATGATTCGTTCCACAACCCAAAAATGTTCGTGTAAAAATGATTACTACAAAATATATTTTTACATTTTTATTTAAATTTAATATAAAGTAATCAAATTTATTAAATAAATGTAATCGTGGCTGGTGTGAGGGAGACGAGAGAAAGGAGAGGAGGGTTATTGAGTAGGACGACTTTCACTGTCACTAACGGAATCACTGCCATCTGGTGGCTCACTGGAATCATTTTATTTTTTGTGCGACTTTAACAAGGAACCTATCCAATGATATAATAAACACTATAGTAAACAGTATACACGTGGTCACTATACTATAGTAAACAGTATACACGTGGTCACTATACTGTAGTAAACAGTATACACGTGGTCACTATACTGTAGTAAACAGTACACACGTGGTCACTATACTGTAGTAAACAGTACACACGTGGTCACTATACTGTAGTAAACAGTACACACGTGGTCACTATACTGTAGTAAACAGTACACACGTGGTCACAACACTATAGTACTGTAGTAAACAGTATACACGTGGTCACTATACTTTACTGTAAACAGTATACACGTGGTCACTATACTGTAGTAAACAGTATACACGTGCTCACAACACTATAGTACTGTAGTAAACAGTACACACGTGGTCACTATACTTTACTGTAAACAGTATACACGTGGTCACTATACTGTAGTAAACAGTATACACGTGGTCACAACACTATAGTAAACAGTACACACGTGGTCACAACACTATAGTACTGTAGTAAACAGTATACACGTGGTCACAACACTATAGTACTGTAGTAAACAGTATACACGTGGTCACAACACTATAGTACTATAGTAATAAGGGATACGCTCGCACTCATGTTGACTATACGAGTGAGGCACGCCGACTGAGACCGCGCATGGGAGACGATTACCCACAATCCCGCAGCGAGAGAGAGAGAAGAACCATCGGCTCAGTTGTGATCACGTGACGCTCGGCAGACAAAGCATGCATACGTACTACTCGTATTGCAAGAACTCGCTCGTTTATCAAATTAATATTTATTTAACATTTTTGCACGTCTCGCAAAACACTCGCAGACCAAGTTACTCACAATCCAAGGTTGTACTGTAGTTTAGTTTTGGTATGGGTCTCGATTAGTGTGGGTCTCTATGGGTGAGTCTCTGTGAGTCTATGGGTCTACGAGTCTGTATAAACACGCATTTAGATTATTTGGCTGATGTTAATTTCCACACGTTGATAAGCCACTTCGTTGTGGTATCATTTGTGATAGCCAGGTCCCTTATGAAACAGCTATATAGCTCAGTGAGGATTACTTGGTAGAATAAAAAATAGTTTACTTTTAGTATGGGTCTCGATGAGTATGGGTCACTGTGGGTCTCTATGGGTCACTATGGGTCTCTGTGGGTCTCTACGAGTATGTGGAAATGCGCATTTAGAGTATTTGGCTGCTGCAAATGTCCACCCACATGGTGATGGTGATAAGCCACTTCGTTGAGCTACCATTTGTGATAGCCAGTTGCACTTCTGAAAAAGGGCAACATAGCTCGGTGAGCCTGACGTGGTAACAATAAAAAAATAGTTTAGTTTTAGAATGGGCCTCGATGGGCCTAAATACCTGGTCAGATTAAAAATAGTTTAGTTTTAGAATGGGCCTCGATGGGCCTAAATACCTGGTCAGATTAAAAATAGTTTAGTTTTAGAATGGGCCTCGATGGGCCTAAATACCTGGTCAGATTAAAAATAGTTTAGTTTTAGAATGGGCCTCGATGGGCCTAAATACCTGGTCAGATTAAAAATAGTTTAGTTTTAGAATGGGCCTCGATGGGCCTAAATACCTGGTCAGATTAAAAATAGTTTAGTTTTAGAATGGGCCTCGATGGGCCTAAATACCTGGTCAGATTAAAAATAGTTTAGTTTTAGAATGGGCCTCGATGGGCCTAAATACCTGGTCAGATTAAAAATAGTTTAGTTTTAGAATGGGCCTCGATGGGCCTAAATACCTGGTCAGATTAAAAATAGTTTAGTTTTAGAATGGGCCTCGATGGGCCTAAATACCTGGTCAGATTAAAAATAGTTTAGTTTTAGAATGGGCCTCGATGGGCCTAAATACCTGGTCAGATTAAAAATAGCTTAGTTTTAGTTCCCACCAGAGCCGGAGAGACGCTCTTCGGAGTTTGGTCTGTGATGTCCCCTGAGCCAACGGGTTCCTTCGTGGGTGGCGGGGAAGGAGAGGGGGGGGTGGGGGCGGTTGGGGGGCAGAGGTGGATGGGTGGGTAAATAATAAACATAACGAAAATAAAAACGGACATAAATCTTCTTCTTCTTCTTCTGTCCGTGTTGCTGCGGCTGTTGATGTCGGGTGGCAACAGCAGTTTTTTTTGTTTAACACCGCGGTGTTCGATGAGCCGGGTGATTGCGTGCAGTGGTGGATCATTGTCGTTGCTGAGACGATAATGATGCCTCCTCCTGCGTATATATCTCGGTGTGGGTCTCTGTGTCTGTGTTTGAGCCTGTGGTTCTCAGTGCGGGTCTGTGGGTCTGTTTGTGAGCCTATGGGTCTCTGTGTGAGTCTATGTGTCTCTGAGCGTATGGGTCTCTGTGTGTGAGTCTATGTGTCTCTCAGCCTATGGGTCTCTGTGTGAGTCTATGTGTCTCTGAGCCTATGGGTCTCTGTGTGAGTCTACGTGTCTTTGAGCCTATGGGTCTCTGTGTGAGTCTATGTGTCTCTGAGCCTATGGGTCTCTGTGTGAGTCTATGTGTCTCTGAGCCTATAGGTCTCTGTGTGAATCTATGTGTCTCTGAGCCTATGGGTCTCTGTGCGAGTCTATGTGTCTCTGAGCCTATGGGTCTCTGTGTGAGTCTATGTGTCTCTGAGCCTATGGGTCTCTGTGTGAGTCTATGTGTCTCTGAGCCTATGGGTCTCTGTGTGAGTCTATGTGTCTCTGAGCCTATGGCTCTCTGTTTGAGTCTATGTGTATTTGAGCCTATGGGTCTCTGTGTGAGTCTATGTGTCTCTGAGCCTATGGGTCTCTGTGTGAGTCTATGTGTCTCTGTGTGAGTCTATGTGTCTCTCAGTCTATGGGTCTCTGTGTGAGTCTATGTGTCTCTGAGCCTATGGGTCTCTGTGTGAGTCTATGTGTCTCTGAGCCTATGGGTCTCTGTGTGAGTCTATGTGTCTCTGAGCCTATGGGTCTCTGTGTGAGTCTATGTGTCTCTGAGCCTATGGGTCTCTGTGTGAGTCTATGTGTCTCTGAGCCTATGGGTCTCTGTGTGAGTCTATGTGTCTCTGAGCCTATGGGTCTCTGTGTGAGTCTATGTGTCTCTGAGCCTATGGGTCTCTGTGTGAGTCTATGTGTCTCTGAGCCAATGGCTCTCTGTGTGAGTCTATGTGTCTCTGAGCCTATGGGTCTCTGTGTGAGTCTATGTGTCTCTGAGCCTATGGGTCTCTGTGTGTGAGTCTATGTGTCTCTCAGCCTATGCGTCTCTGTGTGAGTCTATGTGTCTCTGAGCCTATGGGTCTCTGTGTGAGTCTATGTGTCTCTGAGCCTATGGCTCTCTGTGTGTGAGTCTATGTGTCTCTCAGCCTATGGCTCTCTGTGTGAGTCTATGTGTCTCTCAGCCTATGGGTCTCTGTGTGTGAGTCTATGTGTCTCTCAGCCTATGGGTCTCTGTGTGAGTCTGTGTGTCTCTGAGCCTATGGGTCTCTGTGTGTGAGTCTATGTGTCTCTGAGCCTATGGCTCTCTGTGTGAGTCTATGTGTCTCTCAGCCTATGGCTCTCTGTGTGAGTCTATGTGTCTCTCAGCCTATGGGTCTCTGTGTGAGTCTATGTGTCTCTGTGTGAGTCTATGTGTCTCTGAGCCTATGGCTCTCTGTGTGAGCCTGTGTGTCTCTCAGCCTATGGCTCTCTGTGTGAGTCTATGTGTCTCTCAGCCTATGGGTCTCTGTGTGTGAGTCTGTGTGTCTCTGAGCCTATGGGTCTCTGTGTGAGTCTATGTGTCTCTGATCCTATGGCTCTCTGTGTGAGTCTATGTGTCTCTGATCCTATGGCTCTCTGTGTGAGTCTATGTGTCTCTGATCCTATGGCTCTCTGTGTGAGTCTATGTGTCTCTCAGCCTATGGGTCTCTGTGTGAGTCTATGGCTCTCTGTGTGAGTCTATGTGTCTCTGAGCCTATGGCTCTCTGTGTGAGTCTGTGTGTCTTCTATGTTTGGCTGACGGTCGCGTGAGTCTGACGGCGCGTGACCTTGCCCGTTGCGCAAGTCCGCACGGGCAGATTATCCGAGGGCCGATGGGAGCGCGCCAGCCAGAGCGGCGATTCCCGTCGTGCGTCTGACGTCGCGCGTTTGACGCCCGCGCCGCTCGCGTGCGTTCGCCCGCCCCCCGCCCCCCCCCCAGGCTACCCCTACGAGCGCTGCATCGGCGCCGACGAGCAGAAGCAGGGGATGATGCAGTCGGTGGACTCGCTGGCGCTCGCGTTCAGCAACAGGTGCGCCACCTAACACCCACCGCCTAGTGTGCCGTTCAAGCCTTTGTAGGTGCTGCTACTCGCCAACAGCACTTGCCCCCAACAGTTTGTTACAGGCTATATGTGGGGGCTCTTTGCCTTCGTGTGTGTGTATACGTGTGTGTGTGTGTGTGTGACCTCAGGGTGCACATGGCCTGGCACAAGCGTCGTGGTGACGTCACCGCCACTTAGTGGTGAATGGCGGTTGTTGTTGTTGTTGTTGTGTGTGAGTTAACGAGCTCTCCGTGTCTCTTCCCTCTCGCCTCGATCGCCATCATTGTCACCATCGTTACCACCGTCATCATCACCGTCATTACCATCGTCACCGCCATCATCATCGTAATCGCCATCGTCACCATCACCGTCATAACCATCGTCACCGCAATCATCATCGTAATCACCATCGCCATCATCACCGTCATGACCATCGTCATCACCATCGTCACCGCCATCGTCACCGTCATCATGGTGCACAGTGTGACCGAGTTTCTGATGGGCGACTCTGAGGGTGCGTGGTCATCGCTACGGCAACAGCAGCACAGCCGGGTGAGGCTGGCCCCTCCCGTCCCTCCCCTTCCCCCACCTCTTCCCCCACCACCTCTGCCCCCAGCACCTCCTCCACCACCTCCTCCACCACCTCCTCTGCCCCCACCACCTCCTCCACCGCCGCACCGGTGCAGGTGGCTCGCATACCCGTGGACGTCTGCATGAAATAGTTTAATTGCTTAATTCATCTTAATTGTATTCTTGGTTCTTTCGGTAAAGTCACGTAGAAGGGAAACAATAAAAAATAATTAGACAGGGACAGAGGTTCTTTGCAAGCCATCTGGCTACCATGAGAGATTCGTTCATGAGGCTATCCACATATACAAACACAGAGACAATTTCAACCGATAAGATGGATTCTGGCTTAGTAATCATTGGAAGGATTTGATAAACCATTTCGGGTCTTAATTGATTGATCACGCTTAAGGTGGCTTTCAGACCGCATCCATTATTTTTCGTCTCCCCCCTCCTCTTTTCCGAACATAGATGGACTCGTCCATCTGAAGAAACTGTCAAATCGCTCTCCGTGGTGCTAACGTTAAAAATGTCCGCCACTTTTTTCAAATTTTTTTGCTGTGGTTTTCACACCTGATGATGATTGCTTGTGTTGCAGTCGAAACGTCGTGAGAATTGTATTGTTTTATATTTTTATTATTTTATTGTTTCCCTTCTACGTGACTTTACCGAAAGAACCAAGAATATGAATCCCTGCAGTCACGAAAGCTTTAAATCAAAATTCATCTTAATTGTTTAATTGAATCAGTTTACTTGATCTCTTTTATATTTCCCCACCCCACCCCCCACCACCACCACCTCCCCCCCCCCCCCCCCCGCCCCCCACAGTCGCTGGAAAACCTGAGCGGGGAAAAGGAGGAGGAGGAGGAGTGCAGAGGAGCGGAGGGGAGGGACGCAAAGGAAGATCCGGCCTTCGGTGAGGCCGGAATGTTTTCGAAAACGTTTTGGTCCAGCCATGTTTGTGTGTTGTAGTACAGAGTTGGACTGATAACTTTAATCTAAATTGTCTTTTGGTTGTTATTGTTTGACTTGCATCCCACTGGGATTTTTGGCACACAGCGTTGATCTGCGGTGTTTTTTTTTCCTGCTGTCTTTTTCCCGGCTTTTTCTGTTGCGGTAGTCACTTTAAGATGTTTTCTTGTTCATGTTTTTGTTTGTCGCGGTTTGCACCCGTTTCAAGAGCCACATGGTTCACAGGGCTTCACCTAATAAATGAACTAAGAATAAATAAAGTAAGTAAATGTTAAACTGAACCAACTTAAAGCGAGGTATTTTTTTTAGGGCCACACTTAGCTACGTAGCTGTGTTTTGTCAGAAGCGACCAGGCCACCACAAATGATTGCTCAACGAAAGTGGCTTATCATCATCATGAGACCCACGGAGACCCAAACTCGGAGAGGCCCATACTCCCAGAGATCCATAGAGACCCATTCTCGTCGAGACCCAGGCTGCTACGCGAATTGTATTTTACCAGGTATTTTTAGGCGGTGGTGATGGTAGTCATTGGGCAGCTAAAACGCAGAAAGTTGGCAACGGTAGGGGGCACAGATGGTGCATCGGCCAGCCATCTCAGTCGGTCAACCCACGGCACCTGCTGGGTCTGTCCCGTGACCTCCTCCTGCCAGCAGCGAGCCTTCGACACTTCCCGTGAAAGCCTCAAAAGTGCACCTAGCCTGGCACAGGCGCAGTGGCGACGTCGCCGCCACTTAGTGGCGAATGGCGGCTATTGGGATTGGTATTGGCGGGAGGTGGTGGCGGTGGAACCTTTGTCTTTGTTACCCAGCAGGGCTGGACTCGGAGGACCTGGATGAGCGGCTGCACTCGTGCGACGGGGGCATCGACGCCGCCCTCGCCTACGCCAAGGCCCTGTCCAAGTACATCAGCGGCCTCGCCGCGTACGTCGAGCGCAGGCTCGCAGTCGGTACGGCAGCCTCGCCCACGGCCACCCACGGCCACCCACGGCCACCCACGGCCACCCTCAACTCCCTCCGCCACCACCACCACCATCTCCTCACTCTCCCCTCCACCATCTCTCCGCTCCCGCCTTTCAGCCCATCTCTCTCCCCGATCGACTCACGCCTCCCCCCTCGTCAACCCACAGCCTCCCTCCCTACCTCCCATCACCATCTATCCTCTCCCTCCTTCAGTTCATTTCTCTGCCCTCTCTCTCCCCTATCCACAAACCCCACCTCGGGATACGTGGGGCGGAGGCTCACACTGGGTATGGCCTCCCCCTCACCCAGCCATCCACGGCCACCCAGCCATCCACGGCCACCCATCCCTCCCTGCCTCCTTCAATCCCACCACAATCTCCTCACTCTCCCCTCCACCATCTCTCCACTCCTCCTTCAGCTCATCTCTCTCCCCAATCGCTCACATCCTCCCCTTGCCCACCCACGGCCCCACGGCTACCCTCCCTGCCTCCACCCCCCCCCCTCCCCAATGTCAACTACAAATCTTCCCACTCTCCCCTCCACCATCTTTCCTCTGCTCTCCCTCCACCTCATCTCTCTCCCTGATCCCGCAAACCCCCCTCCCTCCACCACCACCATCTCTCCTCTTCCTCCTCCACCTCATCTCTCTCCCTAAACTCCCAAGCTCGCCCACCCACAGCCACCCTCCCTCCACCACCACCACCACCATCTCCCAATCTCCCCACTCTCCCCTCCACCATCTCCCCTCTCCCTCCTTCACCTCATCTCTCTCCCATCTCTCTCCCTGATTCCCCACTCAACTCTTGGGACACGTGGAGTGTGTGTGTGTGTGTGTAGCTGCGTGCGTGCGTGTGTAGATGCGTGTGGGGAGCAGCGGCGCAGCGGTTAGCGCACTGCTTTACGAACCCGGCTGCGGCCCGAGTTCGATTGCCCGCTCACGGCCACCAAGAGTCGGTGACGATTGTTTGAACCGGTCCTGGGCCTCCTCCCCTAGGTCGACTCGGCCTTAAATGAGTAACCCGATGCGGTGTGTAGTAATAATTGTGGTAAACATCGCCACCAAGGGAGACAAAGGTGGTCGAACGTGGTTGCTTGGCCACCCCAAACCCCTCGTGTGCCACAGTGCCGGCCTTCGTAGGCGCTGCTGCTTGCTTGCCAGCAGCACTTGGCCCCAACAGTCCGTTATGAAGGCTATCCCAGGGGGGGTTTGGGGGCTCCTTTGTCTTTAACACGTAGGCTTTCGCGACCAATATCATCCATAATAGAGGTTATTTTGGGTTGGCTCGCGTCAATATAAATGCGTCGTTAAACCCGCCACCACCCGACACGGCCAATTAGTAAGGTTAATGTCACGTAAACAGAACGTGGCCAATTTTCGTTACCAATGTAAAGAAGCGCCTTCGCACGTACCATTTTCTACACGATAGTAACGTATTTACAAGGCGAGTGTACGACTAACACGTCCACGAGGCTATGACTATCTGCAGCCCTGGTGGTTCCCACTAGATTAATCTCGAACAGTCCTTCTTGATGGTTTCCACCACATAGACCTCGGACAGACCTTCTTGATGGTTTCCACCATGTAGATCTCGGACTGTCCTTCTTGATGGTTTCCACCATGTAGATCTCGGACAGTCCTTCTTGATGGTTTCCACCATGTAGATCTCGGACAGTCCTTCATGATGGTTTCCACCATGTAGATCTCAGACATTCCTTCTTGATGGTTTCCACCATGTAGATATTGGACAGTCCTTCATGATGGTTTCCACCATGTAGATCTCGGACAGTCCTTCATGATGGTTTCTACCATGTAGATCTCGGACAGTCCTTCATGATGGTTTCTACCATGTAGATCTTGGACAGTCCTTCTTGATGGTTTCTACCATGTAGATATCGGACAGACCTTCTTGATGGTTTCCACCATGTAGATCTCGGACAGCCTTCATGATGGTTTCCACCATGTAGATATCGGACAGTCCTTCTTGATGGTTTCCACCATGTAGATCTCGGACAGTCCTTCATGATGGTTTCCACCATGTAGATCTCGGACAGTCCTTCATGATGGTTTCCACCATGTAGATATCGGACAGTCCTTATAGATGGTTACTACCATGTAGATCTCGGACAGTCCTTCATGATGGTTTCTACCATGTAGATCTTGGACAGTCCTTCTTGATGGTTTCTACCATGTAGATATCGGACAGACCTTCTTGATGGTTTCCACCATTTAGTTCTCGGACAGTCCTTCATAATGGTTTCCACCATGTAGATCTCGGACAGTCCTTCTTGATGGTTTCCACCATGTAGATCTCGGACAGTCCTTCATGATGGTTTCCACCATATATATATCAGACAGTCCTTCATGATGGTTTCCACCATGTAGATCTCGGACAGTCCTTCTTGATGCTTTCCACCATGTAGATCTCGGACAGTCCTTCTTGATGCTTTCCACCATGTAGATCTCGGACAGTCCTTCTTGATGGTTTCCACCATGTAGATCTTTGACAGTCCTTCATGATGGTTTCCACCATGTAGATCTCGGACAGTCCTTCATGATGGTTTCCACCATGTAGACCTCGGACAGTCCTTCTTGATGGTTTCCACCATGTAGACCTCGGACAGTCCTTCTTGATAGTTTCCACCATGTAGACCTCGGACAGTCCTTCATGATGGTTTCCACCATGTAGATCTCGGACAGTCCTTCTTGATGGTTTCCACCATGTAGATATCGGACAGTCCTTCATGATGGTTTCCACCATGTAGATCTCGGACAGTCCTTCATGATGGTTTCCACCATGTAGATCTCGGACAGTCCTTCATGATGGTTTCCACCATGTAGACCTCGGACAGTCCTTCTTGATGGTTTCCACCATGTAGACCTCGGACAGTCCTTCTTGATAGTTTCCACCATGTAGACCTCGGACAGTCCTTCATGATGGTTTCCACCATGTAGATCTCGGACAGTCCTTCTTGATGGTTTCCACCATGTAGATATTGGACAGTCCTTCATGATGGTTTCCACCATGTAGATCTCGGACAGTCCTTCATGATGGTTTCCACCATGTAGATCTCGGACAGTCCTTCTTGATGGTTTTCACCATGTAGATATCGGACAGTCCTTCTTGATGGTTTCCACCATGTAGATCTCGGACAGTCCTTCATGATGGTTTCCACCATGTAGATCTCGGACAGTCCTTCATGATGGTTTCCACCATGTAGATATCGGACAGTACTTCATGATGGTTTCCACCATGTAGATATCGGACAGTCCTTCTTGATGGTTTCCACCATGTAGATCTCGGACAGTCCTTCTTGATGGTTTCCACCATGTAGATCTCTGACAGTCCTTCATGATGGTTTCCACCATGTAGATCTCGGACAGTCCTTCATGATGGTTTCCACCATGTAGATCTCGGACAGTCCTTCATGATGGTTTCCACCATGTAGATCTCGGACAGTCCTTCATGATAGTTTCCACCATGTAGATCTCGGACAGTCCTTCATGATGGTTTCCACCATGTAGATATCGGACAGTACTTCTTGATGGTTTCCACCATGTAGATATCGGACAGTCCTTCTTGATGGTTTCCACCATGTAGATCTCGGACAGTCCTTCTTGATGGTTTCCACCATGTAGATCTCTGACAGTCCTTCATGATGGTTTCCACCATGTAGATCTCGGACAGTCCTTCATGATGGTTTCCACCATGTAGATCTCGGACAGTCCTTCATGATGGTTTCCACCATGTAGATCTCGGACAGTCCTTCTTGATGGTTTCCACCATGTAGATCTTGGACAGTCCTTCATGATAGTTTCTACCATGTAGATCTCGGACAGTCCTTCATGATGGTTTCCACCTTGTAGATCTCGGACAGTCCTTCTTAATGGTTTCCACCATGTAGATCTCGGACAGTCCTTCTTGATGGTTTCCACCATGTAGATCTTGGACAGTCCTTCATGATAGTTTCCACCATGTAGATCTCGGACAGTCCTTCTTGATGGTTTCCACCATGTAGATCTCAGACAGTCCTTCTTGATGGTTTCCACCATGTAGATCTCGGACAGTCCTTCTTGATGGTTTCCACCACGTAGATCTCGGACAGTCCTTCTTGATGGTTTCCATCATGTAGATCTAAGACAGTCCTTCATGATAGTTTCCACCATGTAGATCTCGGACAGTTCTTCTTGATGGTTTCCACCACGTAGATCTCGGACAGTCCTTCTTGATGGTTTCCACCATGTAGACCTCGGACAGTCCTTCATGATGGTTTCTACCATGTAGATCTTGGACAGTCCTTCATGATGGTTTCCACCATGTAGATCTAAGACAGTCCTTCATGATGGTTTCCACCATGTAGATCTCGGACAGTCCTTCTTGCTGGTTTCCACCATGTAGATCTCGGACAGTCCTTCATGATGGTTTCCACCATGTAGATGTCGGACAGTCCTTCATGATGGTTTCCACCATGTAGATCTTGGACAGTCCTTCTTGATAGTTTCCACCATGTAGATCTCGGACAGTCCTTCATGATGGTTTCCACCATGTAGATCTCGGACAGTCCTTCATGATGGTTTCCACCATGTAGATCTTGGACAGTCCTTCTTGATAGTTTCCACCATGTAGATCTCGGACAGTCCTTCATGATGGTTTCCACCATGTAGATCTCGGACAGTCTTTCATGATGGTTTCCACCATGTAGACCTCGGACAGTCCTTCATGATGGTTTCTACCATGTAGATCTCGGACAGTCCTTGATGATGGTTTCTACCGTGGAGATCTCGGACAGTCCTTCATGATGGTTTCCAACATGTAGATGTCGGACAGTCCTTCATGATGGTTTCCACCATGTAGATCTCGGACAGTCCTTCTTGATGGTTTCCACCATGGAGACCTCGGACAGTCCTTCTTGATGGTTTCTACCATGTAGATCTCGGACAGTCCTTCATGATGGTTTCCACCATGTAGACCTCGGACAGTACTTCTTGATGGTTTCCACCATGTAGACCTCGGACAGTCCTTCATGATGGTTTCCACCATGTAGATCTCGGACAGTCCTTCATGATGGTTTCCACCATGTAGATCTCGGACAGTCCTTCTTGATGCTTTCCACCATATAGACCTCGGACAGTCCTTCATGATGGTTTCCACCATGTAGACCTCGGACAGTCCTTCATGATGGTTGCCACCATGTAGATCTCGGACAGTCCTTCATGATGCTTTCCACCATGTAGACCCCGAATATTTGACCCGACGGTTTCCGCGATGTCGATCTCCAACAGCCGGCTCCGATGTCGTCCACCTACAGAGTCACCCATCAGTCCCCGGGGCCGGCGCCCCGATTGCGGGCCTCGCTCCCGGTAACCTCCTAGCACTTTCCTCCGGTAGACTCATCCAGCAGACTCCCACCATCTTCTCACTTGCCTGCTCGGACCTTCCCTCGTGCAGCGCCCCTGCGCCTGCTGTTGCCACCCCATCGCCACCGACCCCACTAGAGCCCTTTGCCACGCGGAGTACACCCCACACCGGTGTCCATGGACCTTTGTCTTCGTTTCGCTCACCAGACGTCGACTACTCCAAGGACCTGATGAAGCTCGCGCAGTGCCCGATGCCGGCCTTCACCCACGAGGTACTTGCACCACCCCCCGCCCTCCACAACCCAGCGACGGTGATCGTCACTAGGAGGGGGCGGGGTGGGAGGGCGCTCGCCCTGCCAATGTACGGTTTCACATCTCTCTGTCTGTGACTGGAGGACGAGTCCGATGGGCTACCAAGCCCTTGTTCACATATGGTCCAGTGCGGAGGGCAGGGGGAGGGGGGGTTAGAGAGTTGCAATGGCAAAGCGATGCAAAAAAATATGCTAATAAGGAGCGCAAAATATAGACTGGATGGTAAGTGAGTCACTCAATAGATGTAAATAATGGACAAAAAATGTTGTTATATATATATAAGTCCGATTTATCAAACTTGGGCAAGGCAGCAAAGGCACCAACAACAACAACAGTCCCAGACTACACCGAGATAATGGGAGTAATTGTGGTGGTGGTTCTTGGTGGTGATGGTAGTGATGCCGATGGTGGTGATGGTAGTAATTGTGGTGGTAGTGATGGCGGTGATGCCCATGGTGGTGATGGTAGTAATTGTGGTGGTTGTGGTGGTGATGGCAGTGATGCCGGTGGTGGTGATGGTAATAATTGTGGTGGTTGTGGTGGTGATGGTAGTGATGCCGGTGGTGGTGATGGTAATAATTGTGGTGGTGGTGGTGATGATGGTAGTAATTGTCGTGGTTGTGATGGTGATGGTAGTGATGCCGGTGGTGGTGATGGTAATAATTGTGGTAGTGGTGATGGTAGTGATGGCGGTGGTGGTGATGGTAATAATTGTGGTGGTTGTGGTGGTGATGGTAGTGATGGCGTTGGTGGTGATGGTGATAATTATGGTGATGGTAGTAATGCTGGTGGTGGTGATGGTAATAATTGTGGTGGTGGTGATGATGGTAGTAATTGTGGTGGTTGTGGTGGTGATGGTAGTGATGCCGGTGGTGGTGATGGTCGTAATTGTGGTGTTGATGGTAGTGATACCTGTGGTGGTGATGGTAGTAATTGTGGTGGTTGTGATGGTGATGGTAGTGATGGCGGTGGTGGTGATGGTAGTGATGCCAGTGGTGGTGATGGTAATAATTGTGGTGGTGGTGGTGATGGTAGTAATTGTGGTGGTAGTGCTGGTCATGGTAGTGATGCTGGTGGTGGTGATGGAAGTAATTGTGGTAGTGGTGATGGTAGTGATGGCGGTGGTAGTGATGGTAATAATTGTGGTGGTTGTGGTGGTGGTGATGGTAGTGATGGCGGTGGTGGTGACGGTAGTGATGCCGGTGGTGGTGATGGTAATAATTGTGGTGGTGATGGTAGTGATGCCGGTGGTGGTGATGGTAGTAATTGTGATGGTTGTGGTGATGGTGATGGTAGTGATGCCGGTGATGCCCATGGTGATGATGGTAGTGATGCCGGTGGTGGTGATGGTAATAATTGTGGTGGTGGTGATGATGGTAGTGATGGCAGTGGTGGTGATGGTAATAATTGTGGTGGTGGTGATGGTAATAATTGTGGTGGTGGTGGTGATGGTAGTAATGCCGGTGGTGGTGATGGTAGTGATGCGGGTGGTGATGATGGTAGTAATTGTGGTGTTTGTGGTGGTGATGGTAATAATTGTGGTGGTGGTGGTGGTGGTGATGATGGTAGTAATTGTGGTGGTTGTGGTGGTGATGGTAGTGATGCCGGTGGTGGTGATGGTCGTAATTGTGGTGGTGATGGTAGTGATGCCGGTGGTGATGGTAGTAATTGTGGTGGTGATGGTGATGGTAGTGATGCCGGTGATGCCCATGGTGATGATGTTAGTAATTGTGGTGGTGGTGATGGTAGTGATGCTGGTGGTGGTGATAGAAGTATTTGTGGTGGTGGTGATGGTAGTGATGGCGGTGGTGGTGATGGTAATAATTGTGGTGGTTGTGGTGGTGATGGTAGTAATGCCGGTGGTGGTGATGGTAGTGATGCCGGTGGTGATGATGGTAGTAATTGTGGTGGTTGTGGTGGTGATGGTAGTGATGCCGGTGATGTCCATGGTGATGGTAGTAGTGCTGGTCATGGTAGTGATGCCGGTGGTGGTGATGGTAGTAATTGTGGTGATGATGGTAGTAATTGTGGTGGTGGTGGTGGTGATGGTAGTAATGCCGGTGGTGGTGATAGAAATATTTGTGGTGGTAGCTGTGGTGGTGATGGTGGTGATGATGGTAGTGATTGTGGTAATGGTGGCGATAGTTATTATAATGGTAGTAATTGTGGTGGTGGTGGTGGTGATGGTAGTGATTCCGGTGGTGGTGGTGGTGATGGTTGTAATGCTGGTGGTGGTGATGGTAGCGATTCCGGTGGTGGTGATGGTAATAATTATGGTGGTGGTCATGTCAGTGATGCCGGTGGTGGTGGTGGTGGTGATGGTAGTAATTGTGGTTGTGGTGATGGTAATAATTGTGGCGGTTGTGTTGGCGGCACCAGCCGCCCATGCCCCTGCAGGGCGTCTACGCGTCGCTCATGGAGCAGGACTGGGAGACGGCGCACGCCGCCGCCCACACGGCCGCCCAGCTCCAAGCCGACAAGTGCGTGCTGGTGAGCGCCGTCCGCGCCGCTCGCGCCCCCCGCTGATAGTGCTGCTGCTGCTGCTAGCACCGCCAGTGCCAATGAGCGCCGCTATTGCTGCTACTGCTGCTACTGCTCCGTGCTGCTACTGCTGTGGTTAGTTCTGCTAGTGCTGCTACTGCTGCTAGCGCTGCTACTGCTGCTAGTGCTGCTACTGCTCATGGTGCTGCTACTACTGCTACTACTGATAGTACTGCTGCTAGTGCTGCTACTGCTGCTACTACTGCTAGTATTGCTGCTAGTGCTGCTACCGCTGCTGCTGCTGCCGCTCGGGCCGCTGCTGTTAGCGCTGCTGCTGCTAGCACCGCCGGTGTCAATGAGCGCCGCTATTGCTGCTGCTGCTGCTACTGCTCCGTGCTGCTACTGCTGTGGTTAGTTCTGCTAGTGCTGCTACTGCTGCTAGTGCTCGTGGTGGTGCTGCTACTGTTGCTACTGCTCGTGCTGCTACTGCTGTGGTTAGTTGTGCTAGTGCTGCTACTGCTGCTAGCGCTGCTACTGCTGCTAGTGCTGCTACTGCTCATGGTGCTGCTACTACTGCTACTACTGATAGTACTGCTGCTAGTGCTGCTACTGCTGCTACTACTGCTAGTACTGCTGCTAGTGCTGCTACCGCTGCTGCTGCTGCTGCCGCTCGGGCCGCTGCTGTTAGCGCTGCTGCTGCTAGCACCGCCGGTGCCAATGAGCGCCGCTATTGCTGCTGCTGCTGCTACTGCTCCGTGCTGCTACTGCTGTGGTTAGTTCTGCTAGTGCTGCTACTGCTGCTAGCGCTGCTGCTGCTGCCCGTGCATGTGGTGCTACTGCTGCTAGTACTGCTGCTGCTGCTAGCGCTGCTACTGCTGCTAGTGCTCGTGGTGGTGCTGCTACTGCTGCTACTGCTCGTGCTGCTACTGCTGTGGTTAGTTCTGCTAGTGCCGCTACTGCTGCTAGCGCTGCTGCTGCTGCCAGTGCATGTGGTGCTACTGCTGCTAGTACTGCTGCTGCTAGCGCTGCTACTGCTGCTAGTACTCGTGGTGGTGCTGCTACAGCTGTGGTTAGTTCTGCTAGTGCTGCTACTGCTGCTACTGCTGCCAGTGCACGTGGTGCTACTGCTGCTAGCGCTGCTACTGCTGCTAGCGCTGCTACTGCTGCTACTGCTCGTGCTGCTACTGCTGTGGTTAGTTCTGCTAGTGCTGCTACTGCTGCTAGCGCTGCTGCTGCTGCCAGTGCATGTGGTGCCACTGCTGCTAGTGCTGCTACTGCTGCTAGCGCTGCTACTGCTGCTAGTGCTGCTAGTGCTCATGGTGCTGCTACTGCTGCCATTGCTCGTGGTGCTACTGCTGCTGGTACTGCTGCTGCTAGCGCTGCTACTGCTGCTAGTGCTCGTGGTGGTGCTGCTGCTACTGCTGCTACTGCTTGTGCTGTTGCTCGTGCTGCTACTGCTGTGGTTAGTTCTGCTAGTGCTGCTACTGCTGCCAGTGCTCGTGGTGCTACTGCTGCTAGTGCTGCTACTGCTACTGCTCATGGTGCTGATACTGCTGCTACTGCTGCTACTGCTGCTACTACTGCTACTGCTGCTACTGCTGCTACTACTACTAGTACTGCTGCTAGTGCTGCTACTGCTGCTACTGCCGCCAGTGCTCGTGGTAGTGCTGCTACTGCGGCACTTTTAAATCACCGTCTAGAATGAAAACGTGTTTCTGTAGAACTGCTTTTGTGTCTAGTTTGTTTTCCTTCCCCCCCGCACCTCCGAAGAGCAACGGTTGGCTACGTATGGTGCAAAAGAAGTTCAACATATATGCACACGATACACTACACTGCTATATACACTACACTACTATATACACACCGCACTACTATAGACCCCACTACTATACATCCTTCACTACTATACACACTACACTACTATATACATCCTACACTACTATACACACTTCACTACTATATACACTACTATATACACTACTATACACACTACACTACTATACACACTACACTACTATACACACTTCACTACTATACACACTACACTACTATTCACAGTACTCTACACACTACACTACTATATACACTACACTACTATACACACTACACTACTATATACACTACACTACTATATACACTACACTACTATACACACTACACTACTATACACACTTCACTACTATACACACTACTATACACACTACACTACTATATACACTACACCACTATATACACTACACCACTATATACACTACACCACTATACACACTACACTACTATACACACTACTATACACACTACACTACTATACACACTACACCACTTTACACTCCACTACTATACACACTACACTACTATATACACTCCACTACTATACACACTACACTACTATACACACACTACACTACTCTATACAAACTACACTACTATACACACTACACCATTATAGACTCCACTACTATACACCCTACACTACTATACTACTATATACAAACTACACTACTATATACACTACACCACTTTACACTCCACTACTATACACACTACACTACTATACACACTACACTACTATATACACTACACCACTATAGACTCCACTACTATACATCCTACACTACTGTACACACTACACTACTATACACACTACACTACTATATACACTACACTACTATATACACTACACTACTATACACACTACACTACTATATACACTCCACTACTATACACCCTACACTACTATACACACTACACTACTATATACAAACTACACTACTATATACACTACACCACTTTACACTCCACTACTATACACCCTACACTACTACACACACTACACTACTATACACACTACACTACTATACACACTACACTACTACACACACTTCACTACTACACACACTACACTACTATACACACTTCACTACTACACACACTACACTACTATACACACTACACTACTATACACACTACACTACTATACACACTACACTACTATATACACTCCACTACTATACACCCTACACTACTATACACACTACACTACTATATACAAAATACACTACTATACACACTACACTACTATACACACTACACCACTATAGACTCCACTACTATACACCCTACACTACTATACACACTACACTACTATACACACTACACTACTATAAACACTACACTACTTTACACACCACTACTATACACACTACACTACTATACACACTACACTACTACACACACTACACTACTATACACACTACACTACTATATACACTACACTACTATACACACTACACTACTATACACACTTCACTACTATACACACTACTATACACACTACACTACTATACACACACTACACTACTATACACACTACACTACTATACACACTACATTACTATACACACTACACTACACTATACACACTACACTACACTATACACACTACGCTACTATACACACTATACTACTACACACACTACACTACTACACACACTACACTACTATACACACTATACTACTACACACACTACACTACTACACACACTACACTACTATACACACTATACTACTACACACACTACACTACTATACACACTACACTACTATATACACAACACTACTATACACACTACACTACTACACACACTACACTACTATACACACCACTACTATACACACTACATTACTATACACACTACACTACACTATACACACTACACTATACACACTACGCTACTATACACACTACACTACTACACACACTACACTACTATACACACTACACTACTACACACACTACACTACTATATACACTACACTACTATACACACTACACTACTACACACACTACACTACTATACACACTACACTACTATACACACTACATTACTATACACACTACATTACTATACACACTACACTACTATACACACTACATTACTATATACACTACACTACTATATTCACTACACTACTATACACACTACATTACTATATACACTACACTACTATATTCACTACACTACTATATACACTACACTACTACACACACTACACTACTATATACACACTACACTACTACACACACTACACTACTATATACACACTACACTACTATATACACACTACACTACTATACACACTGCACTACTATATACACTACACTACTATATACACTACACTACTACACACTACACTACTATACACACTACACTACTACACACACTACGCTACTACACACACTACACTACTATATACACTACACTACTATATACACTACACTACTATATACGCGACACTATATACAACCTCCGATTGGCACGGTTGACTACGTACGGTGCGACGGAAGTTCAACATACAAACACACAAACAATCATGACCCCACCTCTCCACCCCCCCCACCTCTCCACCCCCCCCACCTCTCCACCCCCCCCCCCCATTACCTCCCCACCCCTACTCCCCCCCCCACCCCTCCAGCCTCTGCGGAGCTGGCGCGAGGAACACGAGCGCAAGCGGAAGGAGCTCAAGGAGCTGTGGCAGAAGGGACAGCGCCGGCTGGTACGGGGGGAAGGGGGACCCACCGGAACACTGCCTCCCCCCCCCACTCCACGGGGGAGACAAAGGCGGGCGGGCGGGCGGGCACGCGCGTGCGTGGTTTAGCGTCAGTCTTGCGGTTAGCGCTGCGCTACGAACCCACGTATGACCCGAGTTCGACTTCCCGCTCGCGGGCAACACCGGTGACGATTATCTGGACTGGTTCCAGGCCTCCCCTAGGTCCACACGGGTGTGTAAATATCGCCACCGGGGAGACGAAGGCGGCCGGGCGTGGTGCTGGCAACCCACCACCCCTTCGACTGACCGTTTCGGCCTTCATAGGTGCTGCTCCCTAACAGCACTTGCCCCAACAGTCTGTTGAGGTTATACGGGGGATCTTTGTCTTTGTGCGCGCGTGGTGTTGGCCACCCACCCTCCCTGTTGCCTCCTGCGCCGGTGCCGGCATTCGTAGGTGCTACTGTTGCTCACTGCGGCGAGATGGGGTGCCGCGGTGGAGAGATGTTAACTACCTCGCCTGGTGCGCGGAAGGTCGTGGTTTCGATCCCGACCCTGACGCCTGCTGTATATTTGGAGTTTGCATGTGGCTAGGAGATGTTAAATACCTCGCCTGGTGCGCAGAAGATCGTGGGTTCGATCCAGACCCTGACGCCTGCTGTATATTTGGAGTTTGCGTGTGGCTAGGAGATTTTAACTACCTCGCCTGGTATGTGGAAGGTCGTGGGTTCGATCCCGACCCTGGCGCCTGCTGTATATTTGGAGTTTACCGTGTGGCTAGGAGATGTTAACTACCTCGCCTGGTGCACGGAAGGTCGTGGGTTCGATCCCGACCCTGACGCCTGCTGTATATTTGGAGTTTGCGTGTGGCTAGGAGATGTTAACTACCTCGCATGGTACGCGGAAGGTCGTGGGTTCGATCCAGACCCTGGCGCCTGCTGTATATTTGGAGTTTGCGTGTGGCTAGGAGATGTTAACTACCTCGCCTGGTACGCGGAATTTCCACGTGATGATGATAAGCCCCTGAGTTGAGCTCTCATTTGTGATGACCAGGTCGCTTCTGAACAAGCGCGACGTTTAGCTCAGTGTCTCTGTGCGTGTCTCTCTGTCTTCGTGTGTGTCTCTGTCTTCGTGTGTGTCTCTGTGCTCGTTGCAGACCGAGGCAGAGTGCAGCCTCAAGAAAGCCCGACAGGTACAAGCTGCGTGCCCGCGTGGTGCACCTAGCCTGGCCCAAGCGCCGTGGCGACGTCACCGCCACTTTAGTGGCGAACAGCACTCGGCCCGCCGGTCCGTTCATTCTCGACAGGGGGATCTTTTTGCCTTTGCACGTGGGTGAGCGGTGGCGCAGCGGTTAGCCGTGCCGAGGTTTCGAACCCGACCCACACCCGAGTTTGATTCCCGCTCGCCGCCACCACCACCACCGGTGACGAATAATCTGAACCGGTCTCCGGGCCTCCTCTAGGTCGACTCAGCTGTAAATGAGTAGCTTGTGTGGTGCTGGCCACCCTACCCCCCCCCACCCCCTTTCACACGCTGTACCGGCCTCCATAGGTGCAGGTCGCTAACAGCACTTGTGCCAACAGCCTGTTGAGTGTGTACTCTGAGGGGTTAAACGTTTGTCTCCCTCTCTACATCTCTCTCTCTCTCTGTGTCTACCGGTCTTCCTCCATCTCCCCCGTGTCTCCCTGTGTCTCATCGTGTGTCTCTGTCTCCCTCTGTCTCCCTCCATCTCTCCCGTATCTCCCTGTGTCTCCCTGTGTCTCATCCTGTGTCTCTCTGTCTCCCTCTGTCTCCCTCTGTCTCCCTGCAGCCTCCCCCACCCCGTATCTCCCTGTGTCTCCCTGTGTCTCCCTGTGTCTCTCTGTCTCCCTCTGCCTCCCTGCACCTCCCTCCTACCCCGTATCTCCCTGTGTCTCATCGTGTCTCTCTGTCTCCCTCTGTCTCCCTGCACCACCACCCCCACCCCGTATCTCCCTGTGTCTCCCTGTGTCTCTCTGTCTCCCTGTGTCTCCCTGTGTCTCTCTGTCTCCCTGTGTCTCCCTGCACCCCCCCCCCCCCTACCCTGTGTTTCCCTGTGTCTCATCGTGTCTCTCTGTCTCTCTTTCTCTGTCTCCCTCCATCTCCCCCGTATCTCCCTGTGTCTCATCGTGTCTCTCTGTCTCCCTCTGTCTCCCTGTACCCCCCCCACCCCGTATCTCCCTGTGTCTCCCTGTGTCTCCCTGTGTCTCTCTGTCTCCCTCTGTCTCCCTGCACCACCACCCCCTACCCCGTATCTCCCTGTGTCTCATCGTGTCTCTCTGTCTCTCTTTCTCTGTCTCCCTCCATCTCCCCCGTATCTCCCTGTGTCTCCCTGTGTCTCCTCGCGTCTCTGTCTCCCTCTGTCTCCCTGCACCACCACCCCCATCCCGTATCTCCCTGTGTCTCCCTGTGTCTCCCTGCACCACCACCCCCACCCCGTATCTCCCTGTGTCTCCCTGTGTCTCTCTGTCTCCCTGCACCACCACCCCTACCCCGTATCTCCCTGTGTCTCCCTGTGTCTCTCTGTCTCCCTGTGTCTCCCTGTGTCTCTCTGTCTCCCTGTGTCTCCCTGCACCACCACCCCCTACCCCGTATCTCCCTGTGTCTCCTCGCGTCTCTCTGTCTCCCTCTGTCTCCCTGTGTCTCCCTGTGTCTCTCTGTCTCCCTCTGTCTCCCTGTACCCCCCCCTCCCACCCCGTATCTCCCTGTGTCTCCCTGCGTCTCCTCGCGTCTCTCTGTGTCCCCCTCTGCCGCTGTGCATCCCCGACTCCCTCGATCGCTCTGCGTGCCTCCCTGTACGCTCGTTTCAGTCCGTGAGTCTTTTGTACCGTGCGCGCATTTGACCGCGTGCCCCCCCCCCTCCCTTCCCCCGCTCTACCCCCCCCCGCTCCCGTGCCCCCGCCAGCTGTACTCCCAGCGGCGCGAGGAGCTGGAGCGCGCCCGAGGCTCAGCGGCGCGCGCCGAGGAGGGGCTGGCGGCGGTGACGGCGTCCCCGGCCGACGGCGGCGCCGGCACCGTCCACTCGGGATCCTCGCGCACCCTGGAGCGCAAGCGCAAGACGGAGGAGGAGGCGCTGAGGAAGGTGCGGGGCACAGCCGGCGCCGGGCACAGCCGGTGCCTGGCACAGCCGGCGCCTGGCACAGCCGGTGCCGGGCACAGCCGGTGCCGGGCACAGCCGGCGCCGGGCACAGCCGGTGCCGGGCACAGCCGGCGCCGGGCACAGCCGGCGCCGGGCACAGCCGGCGCCGGGCACAGCCGGTGCCGGGCCCAGCCGGTGCCTGGCACATGACACACGGTGCCTGGCGCTGGCGGTGCCTGGCGCTGGCGCTGGCGGCGGCGGTGCTGTTGGCGGCGATTGTGGCGGTTGCGGCGGCGGTGGTGGTGCTGGTGATGGAGGTGCTGCTGCTGCTGCTGCTGATGGTGGTGACGATGCTGGTGGTGCTGGTGGTGGTGCTGGTGATGGAGGTGCTGCTGCTGCTGCTGCTGATGGTGGTGGTGATGATGCTGGTGGTGCTGGTGGCGGTGCTGGTGGCGGTGCTGGCGGTGGGTAGCGGTGGTTGTAACGGAGGCGCTGGAGATTGTGCTGGTGGTGCTGACGGTGGTGTCTGTGGCCGGTGCCGGCGGCAGGCGGAGGAGGCGGACGCCGTGTACCGCGCCAGCGCCAAGGAGCTGCGCCTGCGCCGCCAGGAGGTGCAGGCCGTGAAGACGGTAGTGCTGACGCAGGTGCGGGAGCTGGCGCGCCGGGCCGACCTGGCGCTCAAGACGGTGAGGCGCCAGCGTGCCAACAACCGCGTGCGTGCGTGTGTGTGTGTGTGTGCGCGCGTGCGTGTGTGTGTGTGTGGGGAGCGGTAGTGTAGTAGGTGCTGCTCGCTAACAGCACTTGCCCCCTACAGTCTGTTAAGGCTATACGGGGGATCTTTGTCTTTGTGTGTGCCACTGTGTGGTGCTGGAGCGGTAGTGTGGTGGTTAGCGCTACGATGCACTATGAACCCGGCGACCCGAGTTCGATTCCCGCTCAACGGCCACCAACACCGGTGACGATTATCTGAACTGGTCATGGGCCCCTCCCCCTAGGTCGCCTCAGCCTCAAATGAGTTCCTGGTGTAGTGGTGTGTAGTGAACATCGCCACCGGGGGAGACAAAGGAGGCCCGGAAGTCATGCTGGCCACCCAGCCACCCCCTCGTGTGCCGTGCCGGCCTTCATAGGTGCTCGGCTCGCTAACAGCGCTTGCCCCAGACAGTTTACTAAGGTTATACGGGGAATCTTTGTCTTTTTTTGGTGCGTTTCTGCGTGTTTTGATGGAGCGGTGGTGGTGCAGCGGTGAGCGCTACGCTGCGGCTACGACCCCAAGGTCGATTCCCGCTCACGGCCACTCAGCCACCAACACCGGTGACGATTATCTGACCCAGTCCCGGGTCTCCCCAAGGTTCACTCGGCCTCAAATTCGCTACGCGGTGTGATGCGTAGTAAACATCGCCGCTGGGGGGGACAAAGGTGTGGTGCTGGCCACCCCCCACCCTCTTTGTGTGCCGTGCCGGCCTTCATAGGTGCTACTCCCTAACAGCACTTGCCCCGACAGTCTGTAAAGGTTACACGGGGGATCTTTGTCTTTGTGCGCGTGTGGTGTTGGTCACCAACCCTCCCTCTGCCTCCTGCGCCGGTGCCAGCATCCGTAGGTGCTACTGTTGCTCACAGGAGCGCCTTGCTAACAGCACTTGCCCCGACAGTCTGTTAGAGGCTATACACGGTGGGGGGGATCTTTGCTTTCGTCTTTGCTTTCTACTGCCTTGGCGGGTGGCACAGCCGTTAACGCGCGCCCGTGGTACGGACCTCCACCCCCCTTACTGGACGTGTGCGACAAAGAGCTTCACGGCTCACCGGATTCCTCCCGCCGTTACGAATGCGCATTCCGATCTCCGAAACTGCCGCCAGACGGCGCTAACCGTCGCCCCACTCCTCCCCGGCGTGTCCGCCGGCGCCGTAGGTGACGGCCGCCTACTTCGAGCTGCTGGGCACCCAGGCAGCGGCGCTGCCCGCCCGCTACCGCGCCCTGCACGAGGGCACCGACGCCTACGTGGCGGGCGCCCAGTACGCGGCGTTTGCGCGCCGCCTCGCCGAGGGAGCGCGGTCGTCCCCCGCCACGCGGTCAGCGGCACCCGCCACTCGCCATCACCCACCATCACTCGCCATCACCCACCATCACTCGCCATTAGCAGCAGCAGCAGCACCAGCACCGCCAACCGTCGATTACCGCCAACCGCCGCCGCCGCCACCACCACCACCACTCACGCACTACCACCAACCTTCGCCACCACCTCGACTACGGCCACCACCCACTACCACCACCGCTACCGCCACCACCCGTCGATTAGCACCAACCGCCACCACCACCACCGCCGCCACCCACGCGCTACCACCAACCTTCGCCACCACCTCGACTACAGCCACCACCCACTACCACCACCGCTACCGCCACCACCCGTCGATTACCACCAACCGCCACCACCACCGCCACCACCCACGCGCTACCACCAACCTTCGCCACCACCTCGACTACGGCCACCACCCACTACCACCACCGCTACCGCCACCACCCGTCGATTAGCACCAACCGCCACCACCACCGCCACCACCCACGCGCTACCACCAACCTTCGCCACCACCTCGACTACGGCCACCACCCACTACCACCACCGCTACCGCCACCACCCGTCGATTAGCACCAACCGCCACCACCACCGCCACCACCCACGCGCTACCACCAACCTTCGCCACCACCTCGACTACAGCCACCATCCACTACCACCACCGCTACCGCCACCACCACCCGTCGATTACCACTAACCGCCACCACCACCACTACCACCACTCACGCACTACCACCAACCTTCGCCACCACCTCGACTACGGCCACCACCCACTACCGCCACCGCTACCACCACCACTACCACCACCCACGCGCTACCACCAACCTTCGCCACCACCTCGACTACGGCCACCACCCACTACCGCCACCGCTACCACCACAACGACCACTACGCACTGCCACCGCGACCACACACCACCCACGATCATGGCCACCACGCACTACCACGCGCTACTACCCACTGCCACCCACCAATACCCACGACCGCCACCACTAGCCACCGCCACCACCACTACCCTCCTCCACTACCACGACCCCTTACACACAGAGACATAGACTCACACACAGAGACATAGACTTACACACAGAGACATAGACTTACACACAGAGACATAGACTTACACACAGAGACATAGACTTACACACGGAGACATACACTTACACACAGAGACATAGACGTACACACAGAGACATAGACTTACACACAGAGACATACACTTACACACAGAGACATAGACTTACACACAGAGACATAGACTTACATACAGAGACATAGACTTACACACAGAGACATAGACATACACACAGAGACATGGACTTACACACAGAGACATAGACTTACACACAGAGACATACACTTACACACAGAGACATAGACTTACACACAGAGACACAGACTTACATACAGAGACATACACTTACACACAGAGACATACACTTACACACAGAAACATAGACCTACACACAGAGCCATAGACTCACACACAGAGACATACACTTGCACACAGAGACATACACTTACACACAGAGACATACTTACACACAGAGACATAAACTTGCACACAGAGACACAGACTTACACACAGAGACATACACTTACACACAGAGACATACACTTAACACACAGAGACATAGACTTACATACAGAGACATAGACTTACACACAGAGACATAGACTTACACACAGAGACATACACTTACACACAGAGACAGACTTACACACAGAGACACAGACTTACACACAGAGACATAAACTTACACACAGAGACATACACTTAACACACAGAGACATAGACTTACATACAGAGACATACACTTAACACACAGAGACATAGACTTACACACAGAGACATAGACGTACACACAGAGACATAGACTTACACTTACTGTCCTGGGCCTCCCCGAGGTCGACTCGGCCTCAAATGAGTACCTGGTGCTGTGTAGTAAACATCGCCACTAGGGAGACAAAGGCGGACGGGCGTGGTGCTGGCCACCCACCCCCTCGTGTGCCATTCCGGCCTTCATAGGGCGCTCGCAAACATCACTTGACCCAACAGTCTGCGAAGGCAATGCGGGGGATCTTTGTCTTTATTTGTGTGCGTGTGTGTGTGTGTGCGTGTGCATGCGTGGGTGTCCAGGGAGCGTAAGCTGGGCCGTGAGGACTCCGGGAGCTCTGAGCAGTGCTCCGTCGCGTCTCCTCCTCCTCCTCCCCGTGGCGACTCCAAGGGCTCGCTCAAGCTCAACGGCAAGGGTGAGCCGCGGGGTGGGGGGAGGGAGGGGGGCACGGTGAGACGTGGGGGCGGCACAGTGGGGGGCAGGGTGAGCCACGCCGGAAGGGGGGCGGAGCACGGTGGGCGGCAGGGTGTGCGGTAGGCGTGCGTTGACGGCGGGCGTCGGTAGCGGCGCGAGTTGACGCGGCGCCCGCGTGCGGTGCGCTCACGGTGTGGCGTGGCGGTGTGGCGGTGTGGCGTGGCGGTGTGGCGGTGTGGCGTGGTTGCAGGTGAGGCGTCGCGGGGCAGGAGCTGGCTGGTGGGCGGGGTGAGCGACACGGACAGCGGTAGCGGCAGCAGCGAGTCGCGCTCGCTCGACTCGCCCTCCGCCAGCCCCGGTAGGTGGCACCTGGCGGCCACAACCACACCACAACCGCACGACCGCACCACCACCACCACCATAGCCACACCACCGCACGACCGCACCACCACCTGCTCCATGAGCGACGCGCAGGGGGGCACGGGCGGCTGGTGCTACCACCTTCGCAACCACCACAGTTACTACTACCATCACCACCGCAAGCACCACAATTACTACCATCATCATCACCACCACCACCACCACCACAATTACTACTACCATCACCACCACCACCACCACAATTACTACTACCATCACCACCATCACCACCACCACAATTACTACTACCATCACCACCACAAGCACCACCACCACCACAATTACTACTACCATCACCACCACCACCACCACCACAATTACTACTACCATCACCACCACAAGCACCACCACCACCACCACCACAATTACTACTACCATCACCACCACCACCACCACAATTACTACTACCATCACCACCACAAGCACCACCACCACCACAATTACTACTACCATCATCATCATCACCACCACCACCACAATTACTACTACCATCACCACCACAACCACCACAATTACTACCATCATCATCACCACCACAGTTACTACTACCATCATCACCACCACCACCACAATTACTACTACCATCGCCACCACAAGCACCACCACCACCACAATTACTACTACCATCACCACCACCACCACAATTACTACTACCATCACCACCACAAGCACCACCACCACCACAATTACTACTACCATCACCACCACCACAATTACTACTACCATCACCACCACAAGCACCACCACCACCACCACAATTACTACTACCATCATCATCATCACCACCACCACCACCACAATTACTACTACCATCACCACCGTAAGCACCACAATTACTACCATCATCATCACCACCACCACCACAACCACTCTGCCACATCACACCATATCCACACCGCACCATGCCAGAACACAACCACTCCACCACAACCACAACCACGCAGATCCACCTCGTGGTGCCACGGTGCCAGCCAACACTGCCGTTGCTGCTACTTGCTAACAGCCCTTGCCCCAGCGGCCTGTTAACAGCTACATGGTGGGGAGGATCCTTTGTCTTTGTGTGTGTTTATATACGGAGAGCGGTGGGTGCAGTGGTTGCACACACCCTGTGACCCGAGTTCGAATTCCTGCTCAAAGCCAGCAGCGTATCAGTGACGGCGAATAATTAAACTGAGCTCAACTTATTTTTATTTTTACAAGGTGAGGCACCGGTGAGCTATGTAGCTCTTTTTCACAAGCGACCTGGCTATCACAAATGATAGCTCAACGGAGTGGCTTATCGCCTGGAAATCGATTAGCGTCCAAACACTCTTAAACCCATGATTCTATAAACGCGGAGGAAACAAACAGGAGGGCTGGGAGAAAAATCCACGCGACCACGGGGAGAACCATGCAAACTCCAAATATACAGCAGCGGGCGTCAGGGTCAGGATCGAGCCCACGACCTCCTGTGTACCAGGCGAGGTAGTTAACATCTCCGAGCCACATGCAAACTCCAAATATACAGCAGCAGGCGTCAGGGTAATTATTGAACCCACGACCTCCTGTATACCAGGCGAGGTAGTTAACATCTCCTAGCCACATGCAACTCCAAATATACAGCAGGAGTCAGGGTCAAGATCGAGCCCACGACCTCCTGTACAGCAGGCGAGGTAGTTAACATCTCCTAGCCACACGCAAACTACAAATATACAGCAGGCATCAGGGTCGGGATTCAACCCACGACCTCCTGTATAGCAGGCGAGGTTGTTAACATCTCCTTGCCACACGCAAACTCCAAATATACAGCAGGAGTCAGGGTCAGGATCGAGCCCACGACCTTCTGTATAGCAGGCGAGAGAGTTAACATCTCCTAGCCACATGCAACTCCAAATATACAGCAGGAGTCAGGGTCAAGATCGAGCCCACGACCTCCTGTGTAGCAGGCGAGGTAGTTAACATCTCCTAGCCACACGCAAACTCCAAATATACAGCAGGAGTCAGGGTCAGGATCGAGCCCACGACCTTCTGTATAGCAGGCAAGGTAGTTAACATCTCCTCGCCACATGCAAACTCCAAATATACAGCAGGCGTCAGGGTCATTATTGAACCCACGACCTGCTGTATACCAGGCGAGGTAGTTAACATCTCCTAGCCACACGCAAACTCCAAATACACAGCAGGTGTCAGGGTCATTATTGAACCCACGACCTCCTGTGTACCAGGCGAGGTAGTTAACATCTCCTAGCCACATGCAAACTACAAATATACAGCAGGCGTCAGGGTCAGGATCGAGCCCGCGACCTCCTGTATAGCAGGCGAGGTAGTTAACATCTCCTAGCCACATGCAAACTCCAAATACACAGCAGGTGTCAGGGTCATTATTGAACCCACGACCTCCTGTATACCAGGCGAGAGAGTTAACATCTCCCAGCCACATGCAACTCCAAATACACAGCAGGTGTCAGGGTCATTATTGAACCCACGACCTCCTGTGTACCAGGCGAGGTAGTTAACATCTCCTAGCCACATGCAAACTACAAATATACAGCAGGCGTCAGGGTCAGGATCGAGCCCGCGACCTCCTGTATAGCAGGCGAGGTAGTTAACATCTCCTAGCCACATGCAAACTCCAAATACACAGCAGGTGTCAGGGTCATTATTGAACCCACGACCTCCTGTATACCAGGCGAGAGAGTTAACATCTCCCAGCCACATGCAACTCCAAATACACAGCAGGTGTCAGGGTCATTATTGAACCCACGACCTCCTGTGTACCAGGCGAGGTAGTTAACATCTCCTAGCCACATGCAAACTACAAATATACAGCAGGCGTCAGGGTCAGGATCGAGCCCGCGACCTCCTGTATAGCAGGCGAGGTAGTTAACATCTCCTAGCCACATGCAACTCCAAATACACAGCAGGCATCAGGGTCGGGATTCAACCCACGACCTCCTGTATAGCAGGCGAGGTAGTTAACATCTCCTCGCCACATGCAACTCCATTTACACAGCAGGCGTCAGGGTCATTATTGAACGCACGACCTCCTGTATACCAGGCGAGAGAGTTAACATCTCCTAGCCACATGCAACTCCAAATATACAGCAGGAGTCAGGGTCAAGATCGAGCCCACGACCTCCTGTGTAGCAGGCGAGGGAGTTAACATCTCCTAGCCACATGCAACTCCAAATACACAGCAGGCATCAGGGTCGGGATTCAACCCACGACCTCCTGTATAGCAGGCGAGGTAGTTAACATCTCCTCGCCACATGCAAACTCCAAATATACAGCAGGCGTCAGGGTCATTATTGAACCCACGACCTCCTGTATACCAGGCGAGGATGTTAACATCTCCTAGCCACTGTGGTGAGATGTTAAGGCCGGTACGGCTGCCGCCTTTGTCTCCCCAGCGGTGATGTTTACACACTGCACCAAGTACTCGTTTGAGGCCGAGTTGGTCTCGGCAGTTAACATCTCCTCGCCAACGCGGTGCCCATATCTGGGCCTAGGGAGACAAAGGCGGCCGGGCGGGCCGTGGTGGTGGTGGTGGTGTTGACCGCCAACCCCCCTCGCCTGCCACAGTGTGCCGGGCTTTGTCGGTGCTGCCACTTACTAACGGCACTTGCCCCGACAGTCTGTTAAGGCCCTAAAAGGGCGGGGGGTGATCTTTGATGGCGGTGATCGCCTAGAGCAGTGGTTCTTCATTGCAAGGCCACCGCGAGACACTGGCGGCCCCTGGTGGCCCTCAGTGTGCCTCCTGTCGCACCCCCATCATCGTCCTGCCGCCGCTGCTGCTGTCCAACCACCAATGGTTTCATATGGTATCGGTGAAAGTGGCAGCCCCCTCTCTGAAAATTAGCGAAGGGGCTGTAGATCATAGCATGATCCCCCTCTCGCCCTCTCCCCTCCCCCCCCACCTCCACCGTGTGACCTATGCACCCAGGCGATTTCATCCGCAAGCTGCCCCGCACCCCGTCCACAGGCACCATGTCCTCCGTTGACGACCTCGACGACACCGACCCGTGCAGCCCTGCCGACGGGGGTAACCCACGCTCGCCCACGCTCGCCCACGCTCGCCCACGCTCGCCCACGCTCGCTCTCTCTCCGAGTCCTCTCCTGTCTGTGCGAGTAATCCCCCCCCCCCATCCCTCTTTGAGTTCTCTCTCTCTCTCTTTCTCAGAGTCATCCTCCCTCGCTCTCTGAGTCGTCCTTTCCCCCCTCTGTCCACGAGAGTGAGCGGCGCGGCGTCACGAGCGTCGCTACCGTCACCGTCAGCGTCACTACCGTCACCGTTAGCGTCACTATCGTCACCGTTACTGTCACTACCATCACCATCAGCGTCACTACCATCACTGTTACTGTCACTACCATCACCGTCAGCGTCACTACCATCACTGTTACTGTCACTACCATCACCGTCAGCGTCACTACCGTCACCGTCAATGTCACTACCGTTACCGTCAGCGTCACTACCATCACCGTTACTGTCACTACCATCACCGTCAGCGTCACTACCGTCACCGTCAGCGTCACTACCGTCAGCGTCACTACCGTCACCGTCAGCGTCACTACCGTCACCGTCAGCATCACTACCATCACCGTCAGCATCACTACCGTCACCGTTACTGTCACTACTGTCACAGTTACTGTCACCGTCACTACCATCACGATCAGAGTCACTACCATCACCGTCAGCGTCACTACCGTCACCGTCAGCGTCACTACCATCACCGTCAGCGTCACTACCGTCACCGTCAGCGTCACTACCATCACCGTCAGCGTCACTACCATCACCGTCAGCGTCACTACCATCACCGTTACTGTCACTACCGTCACCGTCAGCGTCACTACCATCACCGTCAGCGTCACTACCATCACCGTCAGCGTCACTACCATCACCGTCAGCGTCACTACCATCACCGTCAGCGTCACTACCATCACCGTTACTGTCACTGCTGTCACTGTTACTGTCAGCGTCACTACCATCACCGTCAGCGTCACTACCATCACCGTTACTGTCACTACCGTCACCGTCAGCGTCACTACCGTCACCGTTACTGTCACCGTCACTACCGTCATCGTCATCGTCACTACCGTCACCGTCAGCGTCACTACCGTCACCGTCAGCGTCACTACCATCACCGTTACTGTCACTACTGTCACTGTTACTGTCAGCGTCACTACCGTCACTGTCAGCGTCACTACCGTCACCGTCAGCGTCACTACCATCACCGTCAGCGTCACTACCGTCACCGTCAGCGTCACTACCATCACCGTTACTGTCACTACTGTCACTGTTACTGTCACCGTCACTACCATCACCGTCAGCGTCACTACCATCACCGTTACTGTCACTACCGTCACCGTCAGCGTCACTACCGTCACCATCAGCGTCACTACCATCACCGTCACCGTCACTACCGTCACCGTCAGCGTCACTACTGTCACCGTCACCGTCACTACCATCACCGTCACCGTCACTACCATCACCGTCACCTTCACTACCGTCACCGTTACCGTCACTATCATCACCGTTACTTTCACTACTGTCACCGTCACTACCATCACCGTCAGCGTCACTACCATCACCGTCATCGTCACTACCGTCACCGTCACCGTCGCTACCATCGCCGTTACTGTCACCGTCACTACCATCACCGTTACTGTCACTGTTACTACCATCACCGTTAGCGTCACTGTTACTACCATCATCGTCACCTTCACTACCATCACCGTTACTGTCACTACTGTCACTGTTACTGTCACCATCACTACCATCACCGTTAACGTCACTACTGTCACCGTCACTACCATCACTACTGTCAACTGCCATCGCCGTCACTACCGTCACAGTCACCACCGTTACCATCACCGTCACTACCATCACCGTCACTACCATCACCGTCACTACCATCACCGTCACCACCGTCACAGTCACCACCGTTTTACCATCACCATCACCGTCACTACCATCACCGTCACCACCATCACCGTCACTACCATCACTGTCACCACCGTCACAGTCACCACCATTACCATCACCGTCACTACCATCACTGTCACTACCATCACAGTCACCACCGTTACCATCACCGTCACCACCGTCACAGTCACCACCGTTACCATCACCGTCACTACCATCACCGTCACTACCATCACCGTCACTACCATCACCGTCACCACCGTCACAGTCACCACCGTCACAGTCACCACCGTCACAGTCACCACCGTTACCATCACCGTCACTACCATCACCGTCACCACCGTCACTACCATCACCGTCACTACCATCACCGTCACCACCGTCACTACCATCACCGTCACTACCATCACCGTCACCACCGTCACTACCATCACCGTCACTACCGTCACAGTCACCACCGTCACAGTCACCACCGTTACCATCACCGTCACTACCATCACCGTCACCACCATCACTACCATCACCGTCACTACCATCACCATCACCACCGTCACTACCATCACCGTCACTACCATCACCGTCACTACCATCATAGTCACCACTGTCACTACCATCACCATCACCACCGTCACTACCATCACCGTCACTACCATCATAGTCACCACCGTTACCATCACCGTCACCACCGTCACAGTCACCACCGTTACCATCGTCACTACCGTCAAAGTCACCACCGTCACTACCATCACCGTCGCCACCATCACCGTCGCCACCATCACCGTCACTACCGTCACAGTCACCACCGTTACCATCACCATCACCGTCACTACCGTCAAAGTCACCATCGTTACCATCACCGTCACCACCGTCACAGTCACCACCGTCACAGTCACCACCGTTACCATCACCATCACTACCATCACCGTCACCACCGTCACAGTCACCACCGTTTTACCATCACCATCACCGTCACTACCATCACCGTCACCACCATCACCGTCACTACCATCACTGTCACCACCGTCACAGTCACCACCATTACCATCACCGTCACTACCATCACTGTCACTACCATCACAGTCACCACCGTTACCATCACCGTCACCACCGTCACAGTCACCACCGTTACCATCACCGTCACTACCATCACCGTCACTACCATCACCGTCACTACCATCACCGTCACCACCGTCACAGTCACCACCGTCACAGTCACCACCGTCACAGTCACCACCGTTACCATCACCGTCACTACCATCACCGTCACCACCGTCACTACCATCACCGTCACTACCATCACCGTCACCACCGTCACTACCATCACCGTCACTACCATCACCGTCACCACCGTCACTACCATCACCGTCACTACCGTCACAGTCACCACCGTCACAGTCACCACCGTTACCATCACCGTCACTACCATCACCGTCACCACCATCACTACCATCACCGTCACTACCATCACCGTCACCACCGTCACTACCATCACCGTCACTACCATCACCGTCACTACCATCATAGTCACCACTGTCACTACCATCACCATCACCACCGTCACTACCATCACCGTCACTACCATCATAGTCACCACCGTTACCATCACCGTCACCACCGTCACAGTCACCACCGTTACCATCGTCACTACCGTCAAAGTCACCACCGTCACTACCATCACCGTCGCCACCATCACCGTCGCCACCATCACCGTCACTACCGTCACAGTCACCACCGTTACCATCACCATCACCGTCACTACCGTCAAAGTCACCATCGTTACCATCACCGTCACCACCGTCACAGTCACCACCGTCACAGTCACCACCGTTACCATCACCATCACTACCATCACCGTCACCACCGTCACTACCATCACCGTCACTACCATCACCGTCACCACCGTCACTACCATCACTGTCACTACCATCACCGTCACCACCGTCACTACCATCACCGTCACCACCGTCACAGTCACCACCGTCACTACCGTCACAGTCACCACCGTCACAGTCACCACCGTTACCATCACCGTCACCACCGTCACTACCATCACCGTCACTACCATCACCGTCACTACCATCATAGTCACCACCGTCACTACCATCACCGTCACTACCATCACAGTCACCACCGTTACCATCACCGTCACTACCATCACCGTCACCACCATCACCGTCGCCACCATCACCGTCGCCACCGTCGTCGCCACCGTCACTACCATCACCGTCACCACCATCACCGTCACCACCATCACCGTCACCACCACCGTCACCACCATCACCGTCACTACCATCACCGTCGTCATCACCGTCACCACCGTCACTACCATCACCGTCGTCACCACCGTCACTACCGTCCCCGTGCGTGCGTCTCGCAGACGGGCCGGCGATGGGGGCCGCGTCGTCTGGAGTGGGGGGCCCCGAGGGGGCGTGCTCCTCCCCCCCCTCGTCGTCCTCCTCTTCGTCGTCGTCCTTCACCAAGGCGGTGCTGTCGGAGGCGGCTCGCTCGCACCGCCTGCGCAAGCTGCGTGCACCGTCGCGCTGCCGTGCCTGCGACACGCTCATCTACTTCCAGGGCGCCGAGTGCCAGGAGGTGGGCACACCATCCCCCTGGCTCCCCTCTCTCTCTGTCTCTCTGTCTCTCTGTCTGTCTGTCTTTGTGTCTCTGTCTGTCTCTCTGTCTGTCTCTCTGTCTGTCTGTCTGTGTGTCTCTGTCTGTTTCTCTGTCTGTCTCTCTGTCTGTCTGTCTCTCTGTCTGTCTGTCTCTCTGTCTGTCTGTCTCTCTGTCTCTCTGTCTGTTTCTCTGTCTGTCTCTCTGTCTCTGTCTGTCTCTCTCTGTCTCTATCTGTCTGTCTGTCTCTCTGTCTGTCTCTCTGTGTGTCTCTCTGTGTGTCTCTCTGTCTCTATCTGTCTGTCTGTCTCTCTGTCTCTCTGTCTGTCTCTCTGTCTCTCTGTCTGTCTGTCTCTCTGTCTGTCTCTCTGTGTGTCTCTCTGTGTGTCTCTCTGTCTCTATCTGTCTGTCTGTCTCTCTGTCTGTCTCTCTGTGTGTCTCTCTGTGTGTCTCTCTGTCTCTATCTGTCTGTCTGTCTCTCTGTCTGTCTCTCTGTCTCTCTGTCTGTCTCTCTGTCTGTCTCTCTGTGTGTCTCTCTGTGTGTCTCTCTGTCTCTATCTGTCTGTCTCTCTGTCTGTCTCTCTGTCTGTCTCTCTGTCTCCATCTGTCTCTATCTGTCTCTATCTGTCTGTCTGTCTCTATCTGTCTGTCTGTCTCTCTGTCTGTCTGTCTCTCTGTCTGTCTGTCTCTCTGTCTGTCTGTCTCTCTGTCTGTCTGTCTCTCTGTCTGTCTGTCTCTCTGTCTGTCTCTCTGTCTCTCTGTCTGTCTCTATCTGTCTCTCTGTTTGTCTCTATCTGTCTCTCTGTCTGTCTCTATCTGTTTGTCTGTGTCTCTCTCGGTGTCTCTCTGTCTGTCTCTCTGTCTCCATCTGTCTCTCTGTCTCTCTATCTGTCTCTGTGTGTTTCTGTCTGTCTCTGTCTGTCTCTGTCTGTCTGTGTTTCTCTCGGTGTCTCTCTGTCTGTCTCTCTGTCTGTGTCTTTCTCGGTGTCTCTCTGTCTCTCTGTCTCTGTCTGTGTCTCTCTATCTGTCTGTCTCTGTCTGTCTCTATCTGTCTATGTCTGTCTGTGTCTCTTTATCTGTCTCTGTCTGTCTCTATCTGTCTGTGTCTCTCTATCTGTCTGTCTGTCTCTATCTGTCTATGTCTGTCTGTGTCTCTTTATCTGTCTCTGTCTGTCTCTCTCGGTGTCTCTCTGTCTGTATCTCTCGGTGTCTCTCTGTCTCTCTCTGTCTGTCTGTCTCTATCTGTCTGTCTCTCTCTCTTTGTCTCTCTGTGTCTCTGTCTGAGTTGTCCTCTCTCTCTTTGTCTCTGTCTGAGTCGTCCTCTCTCTCTGTCTCTCTGTCTGAGTCGTTCTCTCTGCTTGTCTGAGTCGTCCTTTCTCTCTCTCTCTCTCCGAGCCGTTCTCTCCCCGAGTTGGTTCTCTCTCTGAGACGTTCAGTCCCCGAGTCGCTCTCCGTCCGAGTCGTCCTCTCTCTCTGCATCTCTGTCTGAGTCGTCCTCTCTCTCTGTCTCTCTGTCTGAGTCGTTCTCTCTGCTTCTCTGAGTCGTCCTTTCTCTCTCTCTCCACGAGCCGTCCTCTCTCCGCCCGAGTCGTCCTCTCTCTCTGCGTCTCTGTCTGAGTCGTCCTCTCTCTCTCTGTCTCTCTGTCTGAGTCGTTCTCTCTGCTTGTCCGAGTCGTCCTTTCTCTCTCTCTCTCTCTCTCCACGAGCCGTCCTCTCTCTCTGCGTCTCTGTCTGAGTCATCCTCTCTCTCTCTGTCTCTCTGTCTGAGTCGTCCTTTCTCTCTCTGTCTCTCTGTCTGAGTCGTTCTCTCTGCTTGTCTGAGTCGTCCTTTCTCTCTCTTTCTCTGTCTGAGTCGTCCTCTCTCTCTGTCTCTCTGTCCGAGTCGTTCTCTGCTTGTCTGAGTCGTCCTTTCCCTCTCTCTCTCTCTCTCTGAGCCGTCCTCTCTCCCAGAGTCGGTTCTCTCTCTGAGGCGTTCAGTCTCCGAGTCGTCCTTCCTCTCTCTCTGTCTCTCTGTCTGAGTCGTCCTCTCTCTCTGCATCTCTGTCTGAATCGTTCTCTCTCTCTGTGTCTCTGTCTGAGTCGTCCTCTCTCCGTCCGAGTCGTCCTCTCTCTCTGCATCTCTGTCTGAGTCGTTCTCTCTCTCTGTCTCTCTGTCTGAGTCGTTCTCTCTGCTTGTCCGAGTCGTCCTTTCTCTCTCTCTCTCTCCACGAGCCGTCCTCTCTCCCCCCCCCGAGTCGTCCTCTCTCTCTGTCTCTCTGTCTGAGTCGTTCTCTCTGCTTGTCCGAGTCGTCCTCTCTCTCTGTCTCTCTGTCCGAGTCGTTCTCTCTGCTTGTCCGAGTCGTTCTCTCTCTCTGTCTCTCTGTCCGAGTCGTTCTCTCTGCTTGTCCGAGTCGTCCTTTCTCTCTCTCTCTCTCTCTCTCCACGTGCCGTCCTCTCTCCCCCCCCCCGAGTCGTCCTCTCTCTCTGTGTCTCTGTCTGAGTCGTCCTCTTTCTCTGTCTCTCTGTCTGAGTCGTCCTCTCTCTCTGTGTCTCTGTCCGAGTCGTCCTCTCTCTTTCTCTGTCTCTCTGTCCGAGTCGTTCTCTCTGCTTGTCCGAGTCGTCCTTTCTCTCTCTCTCTCTCTCTCTCCACGTGCCGTCCTCTCTCCCCCCGCCCCCGAGTTGTCCTCTCACCCTCTGGCCGTTGTGCTGCCCGCCCAGTGCCTGCTGGCGTGCCACAAGAAGTGCCTGGAGTCCCTGGCGGTGCGCTGCTCACGCGAGTGCCGCGCCGCTCCGCCCTCCCCGCTGGCTTCACCGGCGACGGCGGCTGCCACCCTGCACCGCGACGAAACGAGCGGCGTGCCGGAGCCGGTGCGGCTGTGCGTGAGCGAGATCGAGCGGCGTGCCATGACGCTCAAGGTGGGGGTGCCGGTGACCGCCGGTGTCCACTCAGCGCCGGTGTGGTGGGGGGTGTGGGGGGCGGAGGGGGGGGGTGGGGGGTATGGTTTGTGGTGGGGGGGGGGGGGGTGGGCATGTCCGACGCGAACACGCTCATGTCACCCGCCGAACCTCGCCACCACACACTCGCGAGGTGCTCGCCTGAGAACGCTCACCACTCACCAGGCCTAGTAACAGGTTTTTACCCTTTTAACTGGCACAAAAACTGACACCTTTATTCAAGGCATCGTGTTTGCAATGACCACAACACAAGCAGTCAAAAATGCAAACAAAATAGACAACTCTGATAATAATAATATTGGCACTGTCCTTGAATTTGATTGGTCCACACCCGAGACGGCTTTTCTTAGAGCCTAGTCTCCACTGGTGTTGGACCAGAAGACGCCAAAAGGCGTACAACTCAAAAACGGCGCACTATCAGAGTATTAAGAGCTCGGGGTAAGCACTTACATTATGAGACCTCCTTTGCCAGTAACAAGATACTATGTTTTGGTTTAAAGCTTTCGTGACTGCAGTAATTCATATTGTTAGCTCTTTCGGTAAAGTCACGTTGAAGGGAAACAATAAAATAATAATATATATAAAACAATAAAAATTCTCACGACGTTTCGACCATAACACAAACGGTCGTCATCAGGTATGTCGGCCCGCATTAATTATTTAATTTCAAAACGGTGTCTATTTTTATTTATTTAAAAAAACCATCAGTGCCACGCGCAGCGATTTGGCAGTTTATTTAGAAGGACGAGTCCATCGAGTAATTATTTAATTTTGTTGTTGTATTCTATTTTATCCATGATGACAGTAGCATTGCCCTTGTCAGCTGAGAGGACTACAATGTCATCCCTCTTTTTAAATGTATATAATTCAAAACTTTTCCAAGACAGAGGTTCTTTGTAAGCCATCTGGCTACCATGAGAGATTCGTTCATGAGGCTATCCACATATACAAGCACAGAGACAATTTCAACCGAGAAGATGGATTCTGGCTTAGCAATCATTGGAAAGATTTGATTAACCATTTCAGGTCTTAATTGATTGTTCACGCTTACAGTGGCTTTCAGACAGCATACATTAATTTTTCGTCTCCCCCCTCCTCTTTTCGGAACATGGATGGACTCGTCCTTCTAAATAAACTCCCAAATCGCTGCGCGTGGCACTGACGTTTTTTTATAAATAAATACACCGTTAAAATAATAATTAATTAATGCAAACCGACACGCCTGATGACGACCGTTTGTGTTATGGTCGAAACGTCGTGAGAATTTTTATTGTTTTATCTATATTTTATTATTTTATTGTTTCCCTTCAACGTGACTTTACCGAAAGAGCTAAGAATAAGATACTCTATCTTGTTACTGGCAAAGGAGGTCTCGTAATGTAAACACTCACCAGACCGTTCAGCAAAAACACTCACCACTCACCGGACTTACTCACCACTCGCCGGACACGCTCGCCACTCACCGGATATGCTCCGGGCACTCGCCGGACACGCTCGCCGCTCACCGGACCGCTCACCGGACACGCCGCTCACCGCCGCCGTGCGTGCGTGCATGCAGGGGATCTACCGAGTGAACGGGGTGAAGTCTCGCGTGGAGCGTCTCTGCCAGGCCATGGAGGGGGCACGCCCGGGGGCCCCCCCCGATCTACAGCAGGCTTCCCCGCACGATGTGAGCAATGTCCTCAAGCTCTACCTGCGCCAGGTGAGAAGATCGAGACACTAAGAGCATCAATAGTTAAAAAAAAAAGATTTTTCCAGGTAAGGCGCCTCCCTCCCCCCCCAACAGAGTTGCTCTGTTGTAAGAGGCACCACCTGGCTATGGCAGATGATGGCGGCTTGTTGTCGTCCACCATCGTCGCCGTCGTCGGCGTGTGGACATTTATAGCAGCAGCCAAATGGTCATCAAAGGCGCCACGTCGATTCTGAATGCGGAGGGGGGAAAAACCGGAGGACCCAGAGAAAAATCCACGCGACCACCACGGGGAGGGAGAGAGAGAGAGATGCAAACTCCTAGAAATATACAGCAGCAGCAGCAGCAGGTATTGTCAGGGTCGGGATCGAACCCACGACCTCCTGTAAACCAGGCGAGGTAGTCAACATCTCATAGCCACCGTGATGATGATGATGATGAGAGAGACGCAAACTCCAAATATACAGCAGCAGCAGGTATTGTCAGGGTCGGGATCGAACCCACGACCTCCTGTAAACCAGGCGAGGTAGTTAACATCTCATAGCCACCGTGATGATGATGATGATGATGAGAGAGACGCAGACTCCAAATCTACAGCAGCAGCAGGCATCGTCAGGGTCGGGATGGAACCCACGACCTCCTGCAGACCAGGCGAGGTAGTTAACATCTCCTAGCCACCGTGATGATGATGATGAGAGAGACACCGCAAACTCCAAATATACACCAGCGGGTGTCAGGGCCGGAATCGAACCCACGACCTCCTGTATACCAGGCGAGGTAGTTAACATCTCATAGCCACCAGAACGCCCAAAGTAGCCTCTAGCGGGTTGTGCGGGGCAAGCGCTGTTGACGAGCTGCAGCAGCGCCTGTGAAGGCCCGGCAAAGGAACACGATGGGGTGGTGTGGCCGGACCCACCGCCCCCGCCTGGCCGTCTTTGTCTCCCCGAGTGGCAACGCACCAGGTGCACATTTTTGAGTCTGAGTCGACTTAGGGGAGGCCCACGACCGGTTCAGATAATCGTCACTGGTTTTGGCCGTGAGCGGGAATCCAACTCGCGTCGCCCGCCGGGTTCGCAGCGCAGCGCGCTAACCCCACTGCACGACCACCACACAGACACACAAACAGAGTCAAAGACACACAAACGCAAAGATGCAGTGCCAACGTCAACACCAGCATCATCATCATCATCATCAGCGTCCTCATCACTGCCGCCGTGACTACCAGGATCACCGCCACTACTGCCTCTGCCACCTTGTCACCACCCCCACCACCGCCGCTACCACCACGGTCACCACCGCCACCACCGCCGCCGCCACCACCACCACCACCGTCCCCTCTAAGCGAGGAGCCGCCGCTCACATTCCGTCCCCAGCTGCCGGAGCCCATCATCCCGGCCGACCTGTACCACCGCTTCATCCGGCTGGCGCGGGACGGCCCGGCTTCGCCGGGGCCGCTGGCGCCCGACGGCTCCCCGGGCCGCGACTCTCCACCTCCTCCTCCGTCGCCGCTCTCTGCGTCCCCACCGGCGCTCTTGTCAGACGGCGGCGGCGGCATCGCAGGGCAGCTGAAAGCGCTGCTGGTGTGCTTGCCGGAGCCTAACCGCTCCACCCTGGAATACATCGTTGCTCACCTGCACCGGTGAGTTGTGGTGGTGGCGGGGGGAGGGGTGGAGGCGGGTGGGTGAGCGACGGGGGTGAGTGCGGCGAGCGAGCGAATGGGTGAGAAAAGGGTTGAGCGAGTGGGTGAGCAAGGGGGTGAGTGGGTGAACGAGTGGGCGAGTGGTTGAGCGAGTGGGTGAGCCAGGGGGTGAGCGGTTGGGCGAGTGGGTGAGCAAGGGGGTGAGTGGTTGAGCGAGTGGGTGAGCCAGGGGGTGAGTGGTTGAGCGAGTGGGTGAGCAAGTGGGTGAGCAAGTGGGTGAGCAAGGGGGTGAGTGGGTGAACGAGTGGGTGAGCAAGGGGGTGAGTGGTTGAGCGAGTGGGTGAGCAAGGGGGCGAGTGGTTGAGCGAGTGGCTGAGCAAGGGGGTGAGTGGTTAAGCGAGTGGGTGAGCCAGGGGGTGAGTGGGTGAACGAGTGGCTGAGCAAGGGGGTGAGTGGTCGAGCGAGCGAGTGGGTAAGCGAGGTGAGTGGATCGGTGGGTGAGTGGATTCGTAAGCGGGTGGGCGAGTAACTGAGTTCACGGTTCCTCCGAGTGGTGAGTGCCTACTGGTACGTTGAACTTATTTCGCACCGTACGCTGCTAATCGGAGGTGGGTGTACACAGTTGCCCAAATACCAGTGGAAGAGTGTACAGTCTGCAGTGTCTGGCGTGCCACGCTCAGCGACGGTACTTGAAAGTTAAATATTGGCTGTAACGGAACACCACCGTGACTGACATTGCGGAGCGAGGGGGTGAGCGGCAGAGCACGCGGCTTGCCTACGCGTCCCCCACTCTGTCCCCCATTCCCCCTGCCCCCCCACGTGACACCCCCTCCTACCCCCCACTCCCCCCTTGTCCCTCTCTTCTGCCATCCACGTGCCCCCCCCCCGCCCCCACCCAGGGTGTCCCGCTGTGAGAAGGAGAACAAGATGTCGGCCGGGAACCTGGGCATCGTGTTTGGGCCGACGCTGATGAGGTCGCGGCCCGCCCCCAGCGTGGCGGCGGCGGCGGCGGCGTCGCCGCCTCCGTCGTGGGGGGGGGGCCCCCTGCAGCGGCCCCCTCTCCTCGCTGGCCGACTACCCGAGCCAGGCGCGCGTCGTGCAGCTGCTCATCTCTCACTGGCCCTCGCTGGCGCCCTCGCCGGTGCCGGCGCCCTCGCCGGCGCCCTCGCCGGCGCCCTCGCCGGCGCCCGGCGCCGACGACGCCGACACCGCCGCCGAGGTGCAGGGCGAGGGTGCGGCGTCAACGGCGCCGGCGTTCCCGCTCGATGCCGCGTCTCCCGCCGCCGCCGCCGCCGCCGCCGCCGCCTCCCCGTCCGCCTCTCCCTCCTCTGCGGGCGCCGGATCTCCGGACGCGTTTCCCCGTCGCGGCGGCGCCGGCGGCTCCGTGGAGGAACCCGTGCCGGCGCCGCTTGCCGCGGCGGTGCAGCCGGCGCTCCGGCAAACCCCGACGGTGGCGCCGTCACCGAGGCCGGGCGCCGGTGCCGGTGGCGGCTGCGTGGCGGTGGTGCGGCGTGAGGTGGGCGGCGGCGGCGCCGGCGCCGGCGGCGGCGGCGGCAGCGGAGGAGCCGTTCGCCCCTGTGCGGGTGGTGCAGGTGAAGCTGTCGCGGATCAACCTGGCGGATGCCCGGCACAATCGCGGCGGCGTCGCCGGCGCTGCGCCGGCGGAACAGCGCACCACCGGTGGCACCGCGGCAACAGCGGAGGAGCCGCGGCACGAGCCGAGACTGCCGTGTGCTCGCCCGGACGCTGCCGGTGGCGCCGCGTCCCCGGTGCCCTCCGGCACCTTCCGCTCCACGCTGGTGCGGTGCCCGCCGACCGCCGATTTGGCGTCGGTGCCGAGGGGACGGCCGTGCGAGCTCACCGTGAGCCGGCCGTGTGGCGGCGGCGATGCCGGCGCGGCGCCGTCACTGGCGGTGGGTGCCGGCGCCGGGGAAGCGGCACGGGAGCCGGCGGGCGGGCGCAGGCCAAGGGGGGCGGCTCGCGCGGTGCCCCGCGGCCTCCACTCGACCACCGGGCCACGCGACTTCGACGTGGATGGTCGCGCCGACTTTGTGTGACGCGGTGATGGCTCGGGCTGAACCGGTGATGAATTCCGGCGTGACCGTCGTGCCGAAGCAGCAGCAGCAGCAGTATTATTATTATTGTTGTTACCGATGTACGTGTGTACACGTGGTGAACTTCTTTCGCACCGGATGTAGCCGACCGTGGTAATCGGAGGTGCGGGAGAAGGATGGCGGGCAGTTACGGTGGCGGTGGTTTTACATGCCAAGCGGGCCTAGCCCCCCAACCCGGCCTAGCCCCCCAACCCGGCCTAGCCCTCCAACCCGGCCTAGATCCCCCAACCCGGCCTAGATCCCCCAACCCGGCCTAGCCCCCCAACCCGGCCTAGCCCCCCAACCCGGCCTAGCCCCCCCAACCCAGCCTAGCCCTCCAACCCGGCCTAGCCCCCCCAACCCAGCCTAGCCCCCCAACCCAGCCTAGCCCCCCAACCCGACCTAGATCCCCCAACCCGGCCTAGCTCCCCAACCCGGCCTAGCCCCCCAACCCGGCCTAGCCTCCCAACCTGGCCTAGCTCCCCAACCCGGCCTAGCCCTCTAACCCGGCCTAGCCCTCCCAACCCAGCCTAGCCCCCCAACCCGGCCTAGCCCCCCCAACCCGGCCGAGCCCCCCCCCCCCATAACCCTTCTTCCGGTGACGATCGCCTTGCACCGCACAGGGACAGCTGCCACTGGGGGTGCCCCTAGGTTAGACCGCACGGCAGCAGCAGCAGCAGGACCACCATCTCCCCCCCCACCCCGCCGTGACTACGCATGGGCTCGGTCACTTAGTTGGAGTCTCCTTTGCTTGGATGTTGGATATTGCCCTGCGGGCGGGGGGGGGGGGGGGGTGGGGGACCTCGGGATTATGATTAATTTTTTTATCTTTTTGTATTTTCAACAAAAAAAGTTTTTTTCAACGCCGTTCGCCTTTTTGTGCACTAACGGGGGGGGGAGAAATCGTCGTGGCCGTGGGCTCCGGCAGAGTCAAACGGCCAATGTGGACTATTTAGCGTGGAATGTTCCATCGGCAAAACGGTAAAAAAAATGTTTTTGAAAAAATCGCGTGCTTTTTAAAAACGTTCGTTTCAAATTTTTTTTAAAAAAAAAATCATGTTTTTAAAATCATGTTTCGGTAAACATGAAAAGTCATGTTCACATGAAAAATCATGTTTAAAAAACGTGATTTTTTAAAAAAATATGATTTTTTTTCAAGTCAATTTTTTGTACACATGACTTTTTCAAATCATGATTTTGAAAATACATTTTTATCATGGTATTTTTTTAAACATTACTTTTTAAAATAATGACTTTTTCGTGAATTTTTAAAAAAAATAATTATTTTTTACATGATTAAAAAAAAATATGTCTTTTCAAATTCATGATTTAAAAAAAAGTCACAATATGTTATTTTAAAACATGATTTTTTTGAAAGATATTTTCGTTATTTTTGTTTGTTAAAACATCATCTTTTCTTTTTTTACGAGAGCGTTTTGAATATTCTAAAACGTACGCGGTGGGTGGGTGGGCGTGGGGGTGGGTGCGGGGGGGGGGGGTAAACGTGACGTCGACGACGCGACAGGCGCGATGACGCCTCCTTGTGACGACGGCGTCTCTCTGTGACGCGCATTTCGGGCTGCGTTCGGATTGGTCGGGGGGCGGGAAAACGCGTCGGCACTGTAGCACAGTGAAGGGCGCGGAGCGTCACTCAAGTGGGGATCCAGGGAGGAGGCGCAGGAGAGGGAGGAGGAGTGGGAGGAGGGGTGGGAGCACATTGGGGAGGAGGAGTAGGGGGAGGATGAGTGGGGGGAGGATGAGCGGGGGGAGGATGAGCGGGGGGAGGAGGAGTAGGGGGAGGATGAGTGGGAGGATGAGTGGGGGGAGGATGAGTAGGGGGGGGTGAGTAGGGGGGGTGGGTGGGGGGAGGATGAGGAGGGGAGGATGAGGCGGGGGAGGATGAGTGGGGGGGGGGGGGTGGGAGGATGAGTGGGGGGAGGATGAGTAGGGGGGGGGGTGAGTAGGGGGGGGGGGATGGGTGGGGGGAGGATGAGGCGGGGGAGGATGAGTGGGGGGAGGATGAGGCAGGGGGGGGGGATGAGTAGGGGAGGATGAGCGGGGGGGGATGAGTAGGGGAGGATGAGCGGGGGGAGGATGAGGCGGGGGGGGAGGATGAGTAGGGGGGGGTGAGCGGGGGGAGGATGAGTGGGGGAGGATGAGTGGGGGGAGGATGAGTGGGAGGAGGAGTACATCAGGGATGAGGAGGGGGAGGATCTGGGATGAGGAGGAGTGGGAGGAGGAGGAGGAGGAGGAGGACATCAGCTAGGAGGAGTGGGAGGAGGAGGAGTGGGTGAGGAGATCTGAAAGGGTCTTGGAGGGAAGAGGAGGAGGAGGAGGAGAGGGACTTATTGCTGCCGCACGCTTGCACGTGGTCGATGCGTGTGATCGCCGTGCCGTCCGCTGCTGTAATAGCGACCCCACGTGATAATATATCGCACCCGGGCGGCACAATGGTTACTCTCTCTATATATATACACACACACAGCGCAGTATTAATTATATATTCGTAGTATTTTTTTAAGGAAGTGGGGGGGGAGAGAAAACTCTACTTTTTTTGGTTTAAAATCGTTTTTTTTTATATATAATTGCCTTGTGTATTAAATATTTACACGAATAACTACTGTACACGCATCAAGTATTACCAATAAAAGCACCTGATGATTAGCATTCACTTGGCTTGCCTCACCGGGTTCATGGATCATAGCCGGTGTTAATAAATCATAGCCGGGTGGCGGCGGCGGCGGCGGCTATGCCGAAGGTGGCTGCCTGTGAACCACAGGCATGCACAGATGTTGCACCAACTCCATTCCTGTGGGTATCGAGTCGAGGAGCCTTTTACCCCTGGCTCTGCCAGGTAGAAGGCGGAACAACAGAGTGCGTGGACTAATCTCCGTCTGTTCCATCTCGCTCCCTCCTCACCCGTGGGTGGGGTGTCGAGCAGCAGCCGCCTCCTCCTGCAGACCAGGCGATGTAGTTAACATCTCATAGCCACCGTGATGATGAGAGAGACGCAAACTCCGAATATACAGCATCAGCAGGCATCGTCAGGGTCGGGATCGATCCCACGACCTCCTGTATACCAGGCGATGTAGTTAACATCTCATAGCCACCGTGATGATGATGTTGAGAGAGACGCAAACTCCGAATATACAGCAGCAGCAGCAGGCATCGTCAGGGTCGGGATCGATCCCACGACCTCCTGTATACAAGGCGATGTAGTTAACATCTCATAGCCACCGTGATGATGATGATGAGAGAGAGAGACGCAAACTCCAAATATACAGCAGCAGCAGGCATCGTCAGGGTCGGGATCGATCCCACGCCCTCCTGTATACCAGGCGAGGTGTGGACCGCGCCTGTTCTGTCTGTACGGGATAGAGTGTTTCCCCCTCGCACGCACGTAAAACACTCAACGTTGATTGGGCCGATAATGCCATCATGTATTAGAGGACCTAAGAGCTCGGTCGATTGTTGACGATGGCATAAAACCAAGCAACCTCGTGTGCATGCGACTGATTACTCGGACGTGGACATGCCTTTTGCAACCGGTTGGCGCAACTGGTTGCAGAGACGCTCGCGTATAAGCGACAAAGTTGCATGCAACTGATTGCTCGGGAGTGGACCCGGCTTCACCTTCAACCCACGGTTGTCTTGTGTAGGGCACCACGGTGTGCAGATGTTACCTACCTCGCCTGGTGTACAGGAGGTCGTGGGTTCGATCCCGACCCTGACGATGCCTGCTGCTGCTGTAGATTTGGAGTTTGCGTCTCTCTCATCATCATCATCACGGTGGCTATGAGATGTTAACTACATCGCCTGGTATACAGGAGGTCGTGGGATCGATCCCGACCCTGACGATGCCTGCTGCTGCTGTATATTTGGAGTTTGCGTCTCTCTCTCATCATCATCACGGTGGCTAGGAGATGTTAACTACATCGCCTGGTATACAGGAGGTCGTGGGATCGATCCCGACCCTGACAATGCCTGCTGCTGCTGCTGTAGATTTGGAGTTTGCTTCTCTCTCTCCCCGTGGTCGCGTGGATTGTTCTCGGGGTCCTCCAGTTTTTCCCTCCCACATTTAGAATTAAACATCACCACGCGTTTAAACTGAGCATTAGATTTGCCCTGCGTGCGTGAACCCAGATGGCGAGTTGATTTAATTGACGGCCCACACTGACTGAGCCCCGGGTGGGAGAAACATCAGGTCTGAGCCAGTCACGTGTGTGTGGGAGTATGCGTGTGTATGTGTGAATGAGACTGTGTGTTTTGCCTGCGTGCGTGTGACACTGTGTCTGGTGCTGGCCACCCAAACCCCTCGTGTACCGTTCAGGCCTTCATAGGTGCTCGCTAACAGCACTTGCCCCTACAGTCTGTTAAGGCTATACGGGGGATCTTTGTCTTTGCGTGTGACACTGTGTGATGCTGGAGCGGTAGTGTAGTGGTTAGCGCCACGCTGCGCTACGAACCCGGCGACCCCAGTTCGATTCCCGCTCACGGACAACACCACCGGT